TTTTTTCTTCTTTCCTATGATCTCTGGAGAATAGCTGAAGGACAATTTATTCGAATTATTTTCTTATTAGCTTTTCTTAGTTTTTCATTCCTAAAAACAATCTTACATATAAGATTGTTCATTCCATGGCATCCATTGTGACTGTTGTTGAATATTGAAATCGTTCATAATGTGTGGCGGTGCTTGTATTTGTTGATTCGACAATGGATGAGCTATTGGTGATGAATAATTATTATTTGGTTTCGATGTATTTGTTGAAAAAGATGAAAAATCATTTGTAAGTGAATCAAGAAATTGCGTCGTCCATTCGTATTCTTAATAGACAAAATTAAAAACTTAATAAGAAATAAAAACTAAAGAATACCATGTTTATTAGTATTATCAACAGTATCATCAGCTAGACGTAAACCGGTTAAGAGACCTTCGAGATGAAATGTATTTGGTGCAGCGATAGGTCGATGATATTCATTAACAAGTTCATCAATAGTAGCATTACTACCGCCAGTTAGATTCGCATTCTACCAAAAAAAAAGAAAAAAAAAAGAATTCAAAACAAAACCGAAAGGCTAAATCGCAAGATTCATACAGAAAAATTATTTGTTGCTGGTTTAATAAGACCATCCTAGAAAGCAAAAAATAGAGCAATCGTGAAATTAAAACAATAATGAAACCAAAAACAAATTTACTTGTGTAACAAGTGTATTATCACGTGAATAGAATTGGCTTAACTTAATCAACGGGTTTGTTGTGCCACATTCGGCATCGAGAAGAGGTTTGAGTGCAGCCATCTATGAATTATGGGATAAAGGGAGAAGAATAAAAAATGCGAATCTAAAATGAAAAAACACAACGAAGATGTCAGAATATAGTCATCTGTATCTTTCGATATATGACTACGTGAATTTGTCTGCTTGGCACAAGTCCAATTTCAACGTTGTCGTTTTCCTCCATCTTTTTTTCTCTTCCTCTTGTTCTCCTTGATGACTACTGGTAAAATATGGTTAACCAATCAGAATAATTCTATCATACGCGGAGCGACAAATTAAAAGACAACAAAAAAATGGAGTTTTGTCAAATGAATTAAATAATGCATGATATTAATTTACAAAAATGCAATATTATAAATCTCAAGGATCAAGGAACAAATTTGTTTTTTTGCCTTTTAATTATATATAATTAATATTTTTTTTCTCCATTTCTTCTTTCTACCATTTATGTTTTTGGTTCGTTGTCTCTGAAGAAATAAACATAAACGGTGTGTGCATGTTTGTTTGTTTCAATGTGCACACCGCGCTCAACCAACGGTTTCCAAGCGTGTTGTGTGCACATTCGATTCTTTCTTTTTTTTTCTTATGTTGCGTTGTACCCGAATGTATATTTATACATGTAAAATGTGTATATATATATATATAACTTAAAGCGCACGAGGGCTAACAATAGAGAGTGAAGAAAAAATCGAATACATCGCGACTACTAAGCCAAGGTTTCTTTCGCTGTGTATACGTATGTATCTTTCCCTCGCCTGACTTCATCTTCATCGTCGTCAGTTATGTATATTATACAAAAAAAAACCAAAATGAACTACAACTGTTGAATGCAATCTCATTTGATCGAACTTAGCAATTGACTATGCTTACTGAAGATAGTAAATATATCTAGAATGTAAATATCTATTATCGTAAATTCTCTAGAATTATTTAGAATTTAAATAGTAAAAAATTCCCTATTGATGTTTGTTCGATCTCGAAATTTTTATTTTCTGTGTAAGTTATTTATTTTTTAACAAAATGCCTAAATAAATAATTGAAAAATAATAATTCAATTATGGATGCATATCAATAAATAACTAGATTGTTTTCTTTTCGTTTTAGAATTTGAGTGAGTAAGGGTGTAAGTTGGCCAGCCTCCCCCAAACTAAAAGACGGAACATCATGTCCGCAATGACGGTCACAAGCGGTGGCGTTAGCGGCAACAATAATAATCCGAATAATAATGGTGGAGGTGGTGAACAAACTGACGGTTTTGCTTTATTTCATAATCGACCGCCTATCTGGCCTACATCAAATCAATCAGTACTTGATCAACATTGGAATGAATCAATATTTTCACCGGTTCATCCACAACAGCATCGTTCGTGGCCATCTGAACCATTTGGTAGTGATATATGTGGTGACGAATTACCATATCCAAGACAAACAACGAATCATAACAATAATGATTTCAGTCCATTACCATCGTCACCAGCAGCTTTATTAAATGGTAATCATCTTGGTCAAACAGGACGTTTTCAATTTCCAAATGATTCATCACCGTATTGTCCTCAACAATTACCACCCATGTCATCATGTTTTAGTGATTCACTATATGATCCATCGCCATCGTCTGTACTTTTTCCAAGTGATATTGATCGACGTAATAATTCTTTACTCGATACACGACAACAACAGCAGCAATCATCATCATCATCATTAGATAATTCGATGATTCCAAGAGAATCAAAATTAACATTGGACCAAATGGTTGGACGTTTTGCTGATTTACAATTACCACCACAACCACCACTACCACCATCATCAACATATCAATCTTATCAAAATCCATTTTTGCCTCCATCTAATGATCAACAACAGCAGCAACAGCAACAGCAAATTTTATCATCATTTTATTATCAACAATCATCACCAACACAACAAATCCCATCATCAATGGTTAATTCACGTTTAGGGCCACCACCACCCCCATTTGGAAATCATCTGTATGTAAATTCACCATCATCACCACATACACAAAATTTTCTAACACAACAACAGCAAAATGGACCTTTACCACCACCACCAACAACATCAAATATGTTCAATGATCGTTATGAGCGTAATGATGGTTATTTACCGTTTTCAAATAATTCATCATATCTATCAGCTATGCGTTTTTCACCTAATCCAGCATATCGTACGACAAAAAGTGGTAAACAACAAATAGGACCCGAAAATTCCAATTTATTCATTTGTCATTTACCACAAGAGACAAATGATCAATCATTGATGAATTTATTTTCTCAATTTGGCAGTGTTTTGTCGGCAAAGGTATATTGAATATTTAGTTGAGTTCGTAGTTAGTCTCAATCTATTTCATTTAGGTATTCGTTGACAAAAAAACAAATCAATCAAAATGTTTTGGTTTTGTTTCATACGATAATCCGTCGTCCGCTCAACAAGGTAAAAAGAAAGAGAACTAATTATTTTTTTCACTCTATGAAACATGTCAACATGATTATGATTTGATATTCTATGTGAAGAACTTAGAAAAGAAATTCTTAAATTATTATTTGAATTCATACTGAGCTCACAGGGGAGTTTCGTTTATAGTAGAAAACCTTTTCATAAGTTACTTTAACCGCAGTAATAATTATTTAACTGAAAGCATTTTTATTGATAGGCCAAATGATTTTTTGAAAACTATTTCTTTCTAATTACTACACATTTACTGGATACTCCAAAGGAAATATTTTACTTCAAAGAGTTCATAGAACATTTTTCGTGTGCCACTGAAACCTTAATAGACGCTCAAAGGATGTATTACGCTTGAAGAGAAATATTTTCTTTTGAATTTTATTCTCATTAACTAGAAATAATCAATGCCCTGTTATAAAATGAGCTGAAGAAACTTTATTTTCAAACTAATTAAAATTTTCATCATTTACTGTTTTCAATAAATTAAAAAAAACCTGTTGAGAAAAGAATTCTTTTTTTCTAAATATATTTATAGGGTATATGATTCAATGAAATTATTTTTTCTTCTTCCTCTAGCGATATCAAGTATGGATGGTTTTAGTGTTGGTTCAAAACGACTGAAGGTTGAATTGAAAAAACCACGTCGTAATTCGTAGTATGACCAAACGTAAAATTTTCAACAAAATTGTAAGAACAGTAATAGAAAACATCGTGTTATATCTCCATTGCAAAAGCAGAAAATTAAAGATCTGTAATATGAGTATAAGTTTTAACTGTCTATTTCTCGTTTTGATTTTTTTTCGCCATTATTTCCTCTTTTTGTTCCTTCGAAAAAGCCAACAAAGAATCGAACATATATACTTTTTCTTTGGTTCTCTTGTGTTGTTTGTGTGCGTGTTTCTCAAAGAGACTTGTGTAGAAAAAAAGGAGGAATTCCCTGTATGTTTTTTTTTCTGTTTATGTGTTTATGGCTCTCGATTTCTGTGTCGACTTTTTTTTGTGAGTTGCTGCTGTGTTCCAAACTGTGTTTTCTTTTTTTATGCTGCCACTATTGCTGCCGCCAACGCCGCTGTTTTTTCTTTATTTATTTATTAAGCGATTATGTGTGTGTGTGTGTGTGTGTGTCAGCTTTTATTATCTGCTGTGTGTTTAGCGTGTGTGCGAGCAGTTCACTCATTTTATTTTGTTGTTTTCTGTTTTTCTTTCGTTTATTAAAACAAAAACTCCCTAATTTATTCACAACTTAAAAGAAAAAACCAACAGTTATATTATCTTTCTTTTTTTGTGCGTGTGTGCTCATACCTACACGGTTGTTGTGTGTGTGTGTGTGTGTGTGGTTTTTTCTCTGTTGATTATTGTTGGGTTTCTGGATGCCTATACTTTATATATCTGTGTGTGTATGTATGTTGTGTATGCTTATCATTCCCATCTAAAGAAAAACAAACTAAACAATAAAGAAAATTTTTGTTTTGTAGTAAAGCATGGAAAACAGCAGAGGTAGATTTTTTTCTCGTTTTTCTTTCTTGGACAGCGTGATTATTCATCTGTATGTGTGTGTATTTTTTTGTGTATCTGTACACGTTACTTTCAGTTTTGAAAAACAACATACACCAATGATATATAAATATCACGTTTTATTTTTTCCCTGGTTAAATAAGTGAGCTAGCATTGATTTATTTGTATAGAATGATTAAAATATTCCAGTTACACACAAAAGAGATTAACTATATGAGATGTGTTTTTTCTTCTATTATTTTCGCTTGATTTGATCTAATATTCTTCGGCTTCAGGAGCTTCGTCGGTTGCTGTATCGACACCAACTTCTTCGTAGTCTTTTTCGAGAGCAGCTAAATCTTCGCGAGCTTCGGCGAATTCACCTTCTTCCATACCTTCACCAACATACCAATGAACAAAAGCTCGTTTAGCATACATTAAATCAAATTTATGATCAAGACGTGCCCATGCTTCAGCAATAGCCGTTGTATTAGATATCATGCAAACAGCTCGAGGAACTTTTGCTACATCTCCGCCTAATAAAGAAATGATTCCGTTAGAGATATAGGATACGAATTCAAGAAAACAATAGTATGACCTGGCACAGCAACAGGTGGCTGATAATTGATTCCGACTTTGAAGCCTGTTGGACACCAATCAACAAATCGTATGGATTGTTTTGTTTTGATAGCTGATATAGCGGAATTAACATCTTTTGGTACTACATCGCCACGATACAATAGACAGCAAGCCATATACTTTCCATTGCGTGGATCACATTTGACCATTTGATTGACTGGTTCAAAGCAAGCATTTGTTATATCTTGAACACTGAATGCTTCATGACCAGCTTTTTCAGCTAAGAGAAAATTTTCATCGAATGATTATTAGTTTTTTGCTTCTTCTCTTTTTTGCAATATCTTCAAATATCAACTTACCACTACAAATTGGTGCATAAGTAACAAGTGGAAAATGAATACGTGGATAAGGTACGAGATTTGTTTGAAATTCTGTCAAATCAACATTTAATGCACCATCAAAACGAAGTGATGCTGTTATTGATGAAACAATTTGTGCTATTAAGCGATTTAAATTATGATATGTTGGCCGTTCGACATTTAGATTACGACGACAAATATCGTAAATAGCCTCTAGAAAGTTAAGATCATAATAAAGATAACTGTTTTCTATATCATATTTCACAGACCATTATCAACCATAAAAGCACAATCGGTATGTTCCAACGTACAATGTGTGGTTAATATTGAATTGTATGGTTCAACAACAGCAGTTGAGACCTATAAATTTACAAAAAATAGAATACAAAACAAAAAGATCAAGCTGATTTTTCAACCTGAGGAGCTGGATAAATAGCAAATTCGAGTTTAGATTTTTTACCATAATCTAAACTAAGACGTTCCATTAATAATGATGTAAAACCTGATCCTGTGCCTCCTATATGAAAGAAAAATATTTAATCAATTAAAATATTGAATATGACGAACCTCCAAAACTATGAAATACTAGAAATCCTTGTAAACCTGTACATTGATCAGCTATTTTACGTATTTTCTCAAGTACAGTATCGACAATTTCCTTGCCGATTGTATAATGACCCCGAGCATAATTATTGGCTGCATCTTCTTTCCCGGAGATGAGTTGCTCTGGATGAAATAATTTGGCATATGTACCTCGACGAATTTCATCTTAAATCACAATCAAAATTCGTCATAAAGAATTTTTCAAATAAATCAAAACTTCATATATTTTTTTACCAATTACTGATGGTTCAAGATCAATGAAAACAGCTCGTGGTACATAGTGTCCCGTTCCTACAATCACATCATACATCATAGAGCTATAGGAAAATAAATTTGCTAACCTGTCTCGCTAAAAAATGTACTAAATGACGTTTCCTTGGAATCTACACACAATAAAATTCCACAAAATGATTATGCGAATATATATTTATACAAACCTGATATTGATTCTATTATAAATCAGGAAATAAAACAAAAGAGATGTTATTATAGGATTATGATTTTACTGTCATCTTACTGATAATATGACTATTATCTCGTTCCTTGCAAAATGTTCCATCAGGTTCAATACCATGTTCAAGACAGTACAGTTCCCAACATGCATTGCCGATTTGAACGCCTAGTTACACGCAATTTATTTGCAACGGTATGCACAAAAAAAATGAACAATAGAAAACTAGTCATTACCAGCTTGACCAACATGAATACTAATACATTCTCGCTAGATAGAATTAAACAAAACAGAACACATCAATATGAATTTTCTAATTATCATATGAATACACACCATTTTGATGATATTTGTGAATAATCAAGTACAGAAAAGACAACGGATGAGTCGAGAAAAAAAGGAAATGATCTTGTGCGCCCGATTGCCTACACCAAATGATAGATAATACGACTACTCTCTCTACGATCGTCGACTTAACTTGATGTACATTTCCTTCTTCTTCTTCTTTCTTAGCATTTATATCTTTCTTTCTGCGTGCCTCCTACTGATTATTTTTCATGTTTGGTTGCTTGTGCACGACAGAAAGATACATGATGGTACATAGCTATTGTTTCGTCGGCGTTCTTAGTTTTTTCTTTTCCCTTTTTTCCCTCTCTCATCCTATCTTCGTCCAATGCCGACTGATTTAGTGCCGATGAGAAACATAAAACGACAGGAAGACAGACATGAATAATATGCTATCCAAATATTCCCATTCTATGAAGGCTAAAATAAATCATCCTATGCCGAGTTGTCAAATTATCCCAGTACAAAAAGAATTCAACAAACCATAAAGAGGACGTCGTTTGTTTAAAAAACGCACCCACACACACATACGATAGATATACACATTAAAAAAATGAACCAAATAAAGTGGCAGAGAATATTACAAACAACACTCAAAAGAAGAAAGAAAAAAGAAAAAAGAACGAAACAAGCATACGTTCATTCATCAATAAAAAGAGACAACACAAATGAAATCAAAAATATGATCAGATCTACTATATAGTTAACACATCTGATAACCAATTTATTTAATAAATATTTCTTTTCTTTACTCTTTTTAGCTTTTCAAGTTTCTAAAATAAAAGTGCCTTCATATAGGTAAATACAAACGTATATATTCGTTTTTCTTTTGTTTTATTCTTTTACTTTTCTTCTATGTACAATAAACATAAACTTAAAATTCGCGATCTTCCAAAAATTTATATTCAAATATAAAATTGTCTCGTTTACGCGTTTGCCACCGTTCATAATCAAAAAATATATATGTACCCTAAAATACAGAACAATAATATTGAACAACACAACAATCGGTTTATTATATTACTTGTTCATAATCATCTGTTATTGTTTTAGGTTCTTCATGTCGTTGAAACCACATCATGTGTTTTGTATGAAATCTCCATGATTGTCTTTTTAATGCTTTAGCAGCTAGATATTGAGCACGACTTCCCTGAAAAGAAGATTTATTTTTATTGATAAACATTTATTTATTCCCTTACTTCCATATAGTAAAAAACAAAGAATAATGTATCCGGCGCTAACCGATAATAAAATTCGGGTGTATCACAACCTGTTGGTGGTGTTTGAGGATAATATGGAATCATTTGTGAATGTCCAAGTGGATTTCTTCCATAGAGACGATTCGCATTTGTTCTTTAAAAGACAAAAGAAAAATTATTGATTTCTCTGCTGATTCTATTTGATAGAAGAATAACGCAAACCTTTGTCGTTCAGATTCTAGCAAAGATGGTAATTTTGCGTAAGCTGAATTCAATCTATTGAGCATTCGTAATTCTGCTGTTGTCAATGGAACACGAGTTGTTTGAATAGATTGTTGTTGATTGGATGGCGATATTAGATATCGAAATGGATTATCTTGTAAATGACCAATAACACTACTATTATTTGTTGATGATAAATCATTTGAATTAGCGCTTGATAGAAACGATGATGATGATGATGTTGGTGCTGCTGCTATTGTTGATAGTCCACTATTCATTGTTGAGAGATTTACAAAATTATTATTATCAATTAATGAATGTCCATCCGACGAACCATTAGTCATTAATGACGTTGGTGGATTTGTTGGACGATCATTATCGGCTATTGTACGAGATAGTAGTGAAGATTGTTGAGAGCTCATCATTGAATCGATATGACTTGGTGATAATAATTCTGAAGGAATGTTTGAATTTGATAGTGTTGGACCTGCACCTGAATATATTGATGATGAAATTATATTACCATTAGCTAATGTGACTGTCGATGAAGATGGTGCATTTATTTGAGATATATTATTAAGAATATGTTGATTTAATAGACCTTGAAAAAGTAAAAGAGTAAATTTTTCAATTTATTTTGAAAAGAATTTCATCGAATATAATTGTGTTTCTGTTCTATCTTCTAGGCTAACACGATATTTGTTGAAGTCTTAAAATAGCATGATTCTCTCTGAAAATAACTTCATTTTATGAAGGTTATTAAAAGGTATATTAATAATATTTATTCATTTTTAATTCATAAAAGGGATGTCTACAGTTAAGTTTTTCTATATTCTAAATAAGAAAATTGTTCTAATCACATCGGTGGAGGTCCATCGCCAGGACAATACTTTTCATGTACCATATTAAGGGAGGTGTGCATATGCAACCCTGTAACATGAAATTTTATACCATCATTTGAGTCTATCAAGTACTTATCTCATTCTTCTATTTACAAGATTATCAATCAAATGAAGAACTCTCGAAATATGAAAATCAATCTTATAGACTATCAGATAGATTCAATTTGAAATCAATATATACCAGAACGATCATTATTTGTTAATAATGATGGTGGATGAGAACTATTTGGTATTGAATTTGTTATAGGGGTTGCTGTTGTTGTTGTTGTTGTTGTTGTTGTTGTTGCTGATGATGATAATATCGATTGACTTGAAGTTGTAATCACTGGTGAATCATTATTATTAATTGATGTTTGTCTTGACATTTGTTTGGATTGTGGAGAAAAAATATTCTGTTGTTTCGATAATGAGTTACTGCTGGTTATTGGTGTTGATGGTAATGTATTTTGTGAAACAATTGTTGAATATTGTAGAACAGGTTGAGTTGTTGTCAACGGTGGGTAAGTGAAATGTGGTGGTGCACTAACAGATAATACAGATGCTGATGATAATGGTGCTTTTGTTGATGATTGTTGATTTACAATAGGATTCTTTGGTGAAGATCCATGAGAAACACTTGTTGTTATTGTTGTTGAAGACGAACCATTAGTACTTGAATTTGCTCTAAATAAATTTTCGAAAAATGTTATTAACTACAATGAAAATGGTCGATAAAAAAAGGATCATACCGATTTCGTTGTGATTGAGTATCCTCTGGTTCGGATTTATGTTGTTTTCGATCATCGAACGATGGCAGAGCAGGACTAGCAGTTGGTGAACTCGGTTGAGTTGATGATGGCGTTGTTAAACTCATTGTTGATTCATTATCGCCATGATTTGAATTTGAATAAAATGTTGTGCGGTCAGATCTAGAGAACAACATTCTTTCAATCATTTTAATATAAGCATAAAAAATACTTACAAACTAGTTCCAGATAAATGTGAATGCATACCCAATGACGACGAACTTATATCGATTAAGGATGTTGCATTTGAATTTAAACTATTACTACTACCATTGGTTAAGGATAGAGGATGAGATTGTGTTGTTGGTCCTGCTATAAGCGGTAACATGATTGTTGTTAAATTATCCATATTGATTTCTTCATACATTAAGTCATTTTCTTTAAAATCTGATTCTTGATTTGATTCAATATAATATTCAATATCCGGTCGCAAATTATGTATTGGTTTAAGATCGAGTGCATCATTATCAATCGCACGTAGAATTTTCTCTAGTGACTTGATATGAAATTTATGTCTTTCAATTGAATGTTTCGTATCTTCGAGACGTTCTAATTTCTAGAAAATAAACATTTTAATATTAAACATACGTAAGCTTCGTTACTATGCAGAAAGAATTGAAATTCTATGCTAAAGGTTATGTTTTTGCCAGAATACAATACATTTCTATTTCGATCTATGAATATTTTACAATATATTTTATTTTGTTTTATTGGCATGTCCAATTGCACCCGGTATAAGTGTATTTCGTCTGTTGATATCACTATTTCAGCTAACCTTTTCTAATGACAATAACATACCGCTTGCTACAAGCCACGAGGCAATCGTCGATGACAAAAGAACAAGTTGGAGAACTGCGGTATTTTGCTGACTGTCAATCCGACCTATCACTTTTATTCTTATCGTCTGTGGCTTCACTTTGATTTGAGGCAACCGAGTACTAACAGAATAATATCTAATATGAAATATTTCAAGCGTCTATCCAGCTGTTATCGATCGTTTCTGCGAGGGCAAAGTAACAAAACTATCAGTGTTGCTCGATACGATGGATGGAACTCATTAATAGATTACTTTGGATACCAAGTAACTGGCTGGGTTTATATGTATATGCAAGACAAGATTTATTTCATTTCGATCATAGAAGCAATTTTTCAGTGACATATTTTGTAATTAGCGATTTTTTTGTGTCAACAATTTTCGTGGTCTGTATTGGCTCTCATTTTTGTACTCGTATTTACCAACTCTTATGAATAACGTAATATCATCAATACTAATTCCGGTTCTATAAGAAATTAATTTCTCTTCAATATAAAATTCAGTCGAATTTTCATCGTTTTAATCGAAAAAAACATGACACCCCACTTTTCAATCTCCATAAGCTTCACTCATATTTTTAGATATTAAATTAACTTACATCCTTGTCAGGTTTTTTCTTTTTCGTCGACGCTGATAATGTTTCAATATCCGCTTCAAACTTATGGATTTGAAGATTCAATTCATGTATCGATTCCTGTTCGAAAGAAATAGATTTTCGTTTATTTTTCACCAATTCAAAATTCTAATCTACCGTTATCCATTGAGTGCATTCTTCTTTTTCTTTTTCTAGTGGATCAAGTTTTTGCCCGGCACCTAAACCTTCTTTACTATATGCTTTCGTTTTTGTTTCTCGTTCAACAATTTTAAATTTTTCCATTTTCTAAACACAGTAAAAAATCTCTTTTTCACAATGGCAAATTCTCTCACGCCTTAACTAACTTGTTCAATATTTTTTCTTGCTTCTTGTAACTGCTTCTTGTCTTTGATTTCTGTCGATGACATCCATACTTTAATTTGATCACGTAGACGTTGTAATTTTTTAATTTCTTTTTTCAATTCCTGTTCATATCGATCTTTCTGATTATGATTTGGTGCTAAATGAACCTATACAATTTATTTATAAGTATTTGAATAATCAATTTTTTAACGCTATCTACCTTTTGCCAAACATCATCAAATGTTTCCACGCCTTCAGTTACCTTTTTTAGGCACCGTTCAATTTCTCCTGTAAGAAAAACAAACAGAACTTAATCAAATTAACATAAAATGTTGTACCATGTAATTTTCTCCTATCGCCCATTGTAAAGTATTGAATTTATTTTGAATAATAATAAAAAAATTAAACATAGAACAAGATCAACAAAAAAATGTTGTGATTCTTGAAATAGCGTTAAACCGTCGATAGAATAGAATAATTCGAAAAATTTTATTTTTTTTAATCTATAAAAAATTATCCAAGTTTTTTTTCAATTTGTTTTTTACCACAGTCGACATTCCAGAAAAGCGATGAAATAAATAAACAACAAAAAAGAAAACATAAATGCTTATGCAGCATCGACGCGCCCGGTTGGACGACCGGCAAGCCCATCGGCCTGAAGGTTCAATGACTCATCAGACAAGAAAACGTTGCATTCAACAAATCGAATATCTCCATAACAGAGGTCGTAAGAAGATATAACGCTGGACGATGTAACGACTTGGCAGTTGTTTTTGTCAATTAAATGCACGTGCTAGAGTTCAAATATTGCTATAACCGATTTTTGTCTTAAATACGACCTTGACTTTAAAATACCATGGCCATTTGAAAATGATTTATTATCAAACATTTATATATATATAATATTGTTCGAAATAAAGCAAAAACAGACAACATATGTTAGACGTTATTCATAGATAAATAAAAAGAATCAAGGATGTTTTTTTTGCCTTATTGTAATTGTGAAAGTTTTTCTCGTACTCTGTTGAAGCATGTCTTTTCTTGATGAATTTGGAAAACTGTTCCCCATGATTCATAACTATTAACTTCAGAATGCTATTCATTTGTCAGAAATTCTATAAAATATTTTCATGTGAGATAATACGAAGTTTCCTGACGAGTTGATTAATGTTGAATTTATCAGTAATCATTCTAAGCGTTACTCAATGATTATAGTCGTCATAAAATTCATCCAAACATATTCATCAAGTTTCATATTACAATAAATTGACGAACAGATATTGCTCTGGTTCTATAAGTTTCTTTCAGATCGACAGTAGTCTCAAGACTAGGACAATCAATATACTTCCGTTCGGAATATTTAGTTCTACAATAATATGAATTAAAGTTCAAATCGCGGTGACTTATCCGTTTGTTTCGTCATTCACTATTGAAGTTTAAGTTTATCGGTACTATTACCATGATCAAAACATGCGCATAAAATAAACTTCTGTTATTCATACTGTTGTTTGTAATCTGAGCACATCATTGTTCAATACTTGTAATAGACAGGAATACGAAAACAAACGAGTCTAGAAATGTTACTCTAATCATATAATCAACATCTTTCCAGACAAACGATTTCTTCGATACATATAGATATACATTAATCACCTTCGTCTATCGTTTTTCTTTTCTTGACCTTCAGGAACAAATTTTCAATTAACGGCTTACAAACAAGACAGACGCGAGAGTTAAACAACTGTCTTGAAATTGTTCAGCTACTATAATAATTGAAAGCTAAACGTTAAATATCTATTATGAAAATTTTCACATCTAACTCCTATGACCTATTTTCAAGACAAACTTACTAATATTGTGACATGCCTGAATACAATTTATGGGCGAATGAGATTTATCTCAATTATTAGCTTTTACTTTCTTTCGGTTTGTTTCTCCAACGAACAAATATCCGTTATTTGAACCGAACATTTCGAGACACAACGTAAAAGTATTAATTGTATACAAATATAAATTTCTCAGACATTCTCATTGTTCATCTTCAATTAACAAAGAAAAAAGAAAATCAATAAAGATACATAACAATGTGTTAACATTTTCGTTTCATAAAAAGAGATATAAACATTTAACAAGGATGATGAACCCATTCAATTAGATGGGTGTTGTCGGCTCTCTTATGGACTGATTAGTCGATATCTAACATAACATGACTTGTGACACGAAAGAGAAAATTGAGTATACAGCGTGTGAAAGATGTTTCCGGTTAAACATCACTCCCTTCTTTCTTTTTTCGTTGTCTATGTGTGAGTTAATGTTTTGATCTTTACTCTTTGTCGGCAATCGACAAGTATCAATTTATGTTAAAATAAAAGACTAATTAATCAATTGCAGAAAAGCATCACCATTGTCTAACAGATATGTGTCGTTTCATTTGTATAATCGGACAGAAAAATCAACGTGTCTATTCGAAAAAACAATTTTTCTTTCTGAGTTATTTATTCTTATCCGATTACGCGTTAAACACATGTCTTAAACATTGTTTGTATGTTTTTCCATTGAAATCATTGCCAAGAAGAGAAGAAAAAGCATTGTCACATGAAAATTTTATCTTATCTATGGAGGGTTTATCGTAATCATCCGATAGAGACTAAAGCCAACTTTTTTTCTTCTCTCTCTCTCTCACTTCGAGCCACGTGATTCAGCCAATCGTTTTCATTCATATCCGCGGCCTATTCATTCTCTGTCGTTTTTTTTATTATGTCTGCGTACGCGCATCGTGGTCGATCATTTTCACGTTACGTTCATTTCGTATCTTTTATTCATATTTTAATCTACTTCAGATATCTCTTCGTCACCAATGCCTAAATCATCTTCGCATCATTATTCAACTGATAAATCATCACCATTATATCTTCGTCCAAGAAAATTATTTGTTGATGATGACATATCTGATAATGATATACATATACGAAATTCGAAATCATCAAATCATATTATAACAACAGCATTAGCTCGTTTAACAACACGAACACCACCATCATCAACAACATCTCATCATACAGTTGTTATACGAACAACAGTACAACAAACACCTTTATCAGCAAATAGAAAATTAAAGATGATTGATGTTAATGTTTGTCATCAACAAGAAAGTCATCTTTCAATAAAACGTATCAAACGACAATCAATGAATGATTGTTCACCTTCATTTAGTAAATCAACACCAGTGCCTACTCGTCGAGTACGAGAAAAAAATCATCAAGAAAGAGTTTATTTATTTTCGTTTATCTCTATTTAGGAATGCAATGTCAATCCGTTTATGACATTAAGTTCAGCAACTGGCCATAAGCCACAGAAACGAAAGCGTTCATCATTGAAACAAGTGTAAATTAAAATCGAATAAAAGTCAATTATAGCCTGATTTTATTTTTCTATTTCAGATTATTTGATGAAGAAAATCTTGAAGAGAACTACCGACGAAAAAAGGTTTGACTAAGAAAAACTTTTAGATATAAGAATTATCTTTTTCTCCCCGTGTTTAGCGCTTAGCATTAAAACAATGTAATGTTCGTCGTTTCAATGAAGAATTTCATACTCAATCATTACTCGGTTCAGGCGAATTCGGTAATGTTTATCTATGTGTTAATCGTCTTGATGGTTGCGCATATGCAATCAAGAAATCCAAACGTCCTATAGCTGGTAGTTCATTTGAGTATGTTAAACAACTATTCTTATTCGTATTCAAGCTTGAAATAAAATCCTTTTTTTTTGCCTCCAGAATGCTTGCTTGGAAAGAAGTTTGCGCCCAAGCTGTGCTCAAACATCAAAATATACTTCAATATTACTCAGCATGGGCAGAAGATGATCATATGTATATTCAAAGTGAATTTTGTAATGGTGAGTACTTCGATTAATCAACATATGCGAAACATGTGTGTTATTCACACTTAATTTGTATTCAGTAGAAGGCGAAAAAAAAAACTACCTTATGTGTGAATTTTTCTAGGTGGAAATTTAGCTGAACGAATACGTGATAATCATCATCGACAATGTTATATGGATGAGAATAGTTTACGAAAAATTTTATTACATATTGCTAATGGTTTAGCATTTATACATGCAAGAAATTTAGTTCATTTGGATATTAAACCTGATAATATATTTATATCGATTAATGACGAATTATCATTGGAGAAAAATATTACTTATAAAATTGGTGACTTAGGACATGTTACGGATATTTACGATCCATTTGTTGAAGAAGGTGATTCAAGATATTTAGCAAGAGAAGTTCTTCAACAAAAATATCAATGTTTACCAAAAGCAGATGTGTTTTCATTGGCGCTTACAGTTTTCGTTGCGGTAAGAGTTTTTTTTTCTATCACTTAAAAGAGATAGTGAAGGAAAAGCGTTGAACGAGTAAAAATGATTTCGATTGGTTGTTTAAAACGATTGGAGATTTGTTTTATTGTGAACATTTCGTTGCAATACACGGCAAGATCTAAGTGAGAAAGTTTAGCTAGGTGTCAATTAGCTATTATAGAACTATTCTCGTAAGTAACTCGAAGTCATAGTGTTGAAAACAATAAAACAGTTGTGTCATTTTTTTGTCTTATGAAATAATTTTTTTGTAGGGTACAAATAGCACACTTCCTAAAAATGGTGATGAATGGGATCGTATACGTGATGGAAAATTACCACGGATAAAACATTGTTCTGATGCATTTAATGATTTACTTCATGTAAATATTCATTTTTTGTCAATTGTAGGCTTGACAAATATTATTTTAATTTTTCCTATAGGCAATGATAAAATCTGAAGTCAGTGAACGTCCATCATCATCGGAATTAGCTGAACATCCAATCGTATCACCCATTAGTGAACGTAGTAAAAATCAATTATTTGATGAATTACAAGAAGAACAAAGAAAAAATTCTGTTTTAGCAAAGTAAGAGAAAATTGCCAAATTCTATAAAAATATTGGAAATTTTTTATTCTTAGAAAACTTCTCGATTACATGTTCTTAGCTAACGAACTTGAACGTGTTTGTTCACAAATCCGTGCTGTTGACATGAATAAACCTCATAGAGATTCATCACCATTACAACGTTCAAGTAGTGTCAATGACTTTCGTATAACATCAGTATTGTGATAGATAAATAGATATTTTTCCTTTTCTCTTGCCTAACTTATTTTCGTCTTAAAAAAAAACTTTAATCATTTATTTTTCTTCTTTGTCGAATTCGGATTCAAAAAAAAGCAAGCAAAGCTCTTACTCAGAATTATAAAGAAAATAAATAATAAGATTTTAACTTCGTTCTGATATGTGTGTCTGAATTTTACTCTTTTATCTTTGTTCAATTTGTTACCCTTCATGTGTATTATTCACCTGCCTTTATTAATGCCATTGATCAATTGATGTACAGACTGTTTTTAAACATATCACTCGTATCCGTTCTGTTCTTAAAAAAAAACAAATATGTGTGTGTGTGGAAAAGAATTAAAGAATTGTTATCTATGCCTTTTTTTCTTGTTTATTATTGAATATCCTCTATCGGGATATTTAATATTTTTTTTCTTATTTCGTTCATCGTTTTTTTTTCTTGTGTTGATTATATCTCCCAAATGTTGTTATATATAAATATATATATATATATATATTCATATATACATACACCTGTGACTTTGTTCTTTCCCTATATTTCTTGTTGTTTTTTTTTCTGTGTCTTGAAAAAATCATTCGAATAAAGTTTAAAGAAAGATGTAGATAGCGATTTTGCTATTTGGTCTTTGCTTTAATTCGATTCATCACTCAGTTTCACTATTTACATGACGACCATTCATTTAGTTATGGTTACTCGTCCAAGGAGGGCGTGTCCATGCTAAAGTCAAACATTAAAATGTGCGTACCGGTATTGCTCTTTTCAAAATTTAAATTTTTGATTTTGATTTGCGGAAAGCGATTTGTGTTCAGAGAAAGCAGATTATCTCAACATCCGTGGAATTTTGACTATTAATACGAATAAAGAAACGTTGTTGTGTCTTCAGCGGACAGCTGAAAGTTTGCATAACACTCTAACATCGATGCCTCATCTCATGGAAAATAACATATTGATATCAACAATTTTATGTGCTTGAAAATAAGGAGAATTGCCCTCAAAGTTATAACATACTTGCTTGATGAATTTGACATTTCTGACAGACTCATGAATTCACATCCAATGAACAGAGAACTGTATGTATATTTCTTATTACGACAAGTGATGTGTGGGCTCCGTTTAAGAGAATCTAACGAGTGAAGGAAAACTATGGATACCATTGTATAGGCACATCAAATCGTGTAATGGCACATGGTTGAGCATGAAAACTTAGCTACAAATAGAGAATACGAGCGTACTTCAAGTGAAGTATTACTGTGAAATCGTTTTGTATCGAAATACTTTTTCGTAATAAATCCAATCAATCGCATAGCATAACTCGACTTTCGTCTTAGAAAGATAAATCAGTATGACAGTTCAATTTCGCTAGCTTAATTTGTGCCACCGATAAATACGATGAATAGTCTTGAAGGACAGTTGGAATGACTGTCTAAAAGAAGTATCGCAATGACAAAAATGGTCTCATTTTATAGTCTAACGTCGACGTCTCGTATAGTTGAAGTCGAAATACTAATTTATTTAACATCGTATAGTAATCAGACAACGATCTATCCTATAAAATAGAACAACTTATCACGGGTGAGAATCCAAATTGTCTACTCGAAAATATCTTGATGATAAAATACATTTCATGAACTTTTCGAAAAATTAAGTTTTTCATTCAACATTCTATTAGTTTTTGACATATTTTCATGAATAATGAAATGTGACAAGATGCATACATGAATTTACCAAGCCAATCAGGACTCTCCATTATACGATTCCACTAAATTCTACAATGGTATCCATATTTTCCCCTGATTAGAGCAGAGAATAAAACTATAATTAGTATTCAGTATTAAAAATAATTTTTGTAAGAATGTTTTTATTAAAATCCGTCTGATGATTTACTTGTAATTAAATCAAAATAGTCACAGGTGGCATTTCAAATACCTGATCATAAAACACTAGAATTGTACTACTAGGTATCGAATAAATCAGTTCATTTTCAGTATGGTACATGAATCAGTTGTGAATATATATTTTCAACATATTGAAAGAGTTTGTGTGAGTCTAGCTTCATCATTGTTATACTAACATTGTAGCAACTGACGAATACGATGATAGTTGGCATATAAAAATATTCTAGATTATTCACATCGATCAGTTTCAAATTATAATCAAAATCAAAAGCATCATCAGGTCTAAAACTTTCCATAAAACTTCTATAAAAACGAAATATCTAATTGCTTTCTAGTAAAATATTTAGCCAATGACAAATGAAAAATAGAAGTGGTGAAAGGATACAAAATACATTTGCGACATTGGTAATGCATTTTTATATAGAAACAAGAATAGTCTTTTTTAGCATAATACAAGAAAGAAAGCTTATATTAATTCTATAAACGCTACCGTTGCATTCTAATCAATGTAATCGTTTATTTTCTTGTAAAGTTAAAAGTCGAACAAATGAATTGTTACTCACCAATAATGATTTTGTCTTTCGAACATAGCTCAGATTGTCTTGAGTTAATAGATGATTGTCGAGGAATCATCATTAAATAAAACATGTTTCTTTATTAGTAATGGAGTATATTGTGATTGACATGTTAGAGGTGAATTTCGTATACCGGAGAAAGAAATCAAATTTTAACTGCAATGTAAACAATTTCCTTGTGTTATAAATGTTTAAATTCTTATTCGAATATTTCTTATTATAATTAGTGTTTGATATAAATTCTATTCAACTGTCGTTTTGACCTTCAGTTGCTTGTGGAATATTATTTTTGAAGAATTGAATTTTCAATGACGATAAATGTTCATGTGAAGGTGAATGATTCTCAGAATTACCTAAAATTAAAAGAATATTAGAAGCAATTATCAGATACCATTTACTTTGATTCATATTTGATGAAATCATATTTACAGAAGAACCTTTTCCTCTTACATTCTGTTTTGACGAGTCCATCATCGAATCCACAAATATTGAATAAAAAGTATCTTTCAACCTGAAAAAAATGAATCACATACATATAGATAAAGTAGAAGTTTTCTTACAGATGAAAATCATAAATGTGATGACTCGTTACAAGATGCGAAAAATTCTATTTCATGTAAAATTCCTTTGTTTTTAGTTAATGTAGACGATCTACAACAATTTGTATAATTGATTCATCATCGGTTCATTCTTCAACGACATAGTAGGTACTACGTAGCAAGGACTTGCTCAAGATTAAAATAAGAAATAATTGAAACTCATCGAACAGTTTCATAATCTTGTTGTGTACTTTCATGCAGACATGCTGTACGTTTAATTAATGATTCTATTTTAATACCAAAAATAATACGAATTGCATTCGATGAATATGAATAATATGTGAAAGACATATTGTATTATATGATCGGGAAGAAAAATTAAAAACTCGAATGGGTCTTCTTCTTGACCCAGTACGAAGTTGGACGATAATTTTTTTATGTGCTGGAGCATTGAAATAGGCGATGCTTGAAAAAGGTCAGAAAAAAATGACACGTACTGTAAATATTTCGGTTAATAGCTTTGATAATTGAACGAAGAAGACAACATGAACAAAATTCATCATTTATTGTCAATATGCTTATACAAAAAAATAATAACTTCAGCGTTATATTCTTTAAAAGTTGAAAATCACACTTCTCTTGCAAAAAAAGCATCATAATTGAAAGAATGACACTACAGTTCCCTAATAAATTATGTTAACTTATGTATATTAGAACACTATCTTTGAAAACATTAGTATGTCTGCCTATGAATAATTGCTGATTAATCGTTCCACATATACAATTCTTTTCACTTCTTTCTAACTTATCAATGTGAGGTACATTCTCGACACAACCGCCATAATGTTAATGAAACAGTACGATGAAAACATGGCTTTAAACTTGTCATTCGAAGCACGCTTCTTGAAGCACTTCCAAGGTCGATTCGATGCAGATTTTGTTTTAGAAGCTTTCAACCAACAGCTGGATCGTGTCTCTGTTTGCAGCAAATTATCAGTCAAGCAGTCCAAATATGACGCACATTTTTGTGGCGGATGCGTTACAATTTCTAGCGCTCGAAGAACTATAAGAGTTGAGCTGAGAAAAATCAATCAATGTTGCTGGTGTGACATTAAAGTTAAGAGAGTTTAAAAATTTTGTCTGAATTCGATTATGTATATCTATTATTTGGGCACTACGCTCTATGAAACATAAATGATCACGAGAGAATAGTAGTTCATACAAGTAGAGTTTTCTGCTGACCGCATCTTCTTCTCTCGAGTCTCAAAAAGGAGTATTTTAGTTGAAATTTTTTTTGTAAGAAGGTATCGTCATGTTATGAAAGCAGAAAATTACTTATGCAAGTGCGACTCTAAATGAAATCATTTACATGTAGTAGATGTTACTATTTCGATTTTCATTTATCGACCTCTATTGAAGCCTTTTAATAAACAATAAATAGGTGAAATAAACATAAATAACGAAATAAAAATTGTACTTCGAGGATTTTCTTTGCTCTAGATTTTTTCGTTCTATATATAGGAATTTTGAAAAGACAGAGGTCGCTGTGGTGATGTTATATTAATACTTTCTTCAACTATTGGTGCATGTAAATACCCATTGATAGAAGTCTCTGACAAAATTTTTTTTGTTTGCTTATTATTCTGATAGACTGAAATTATTTTCACTAACTGAAATAGATTTATTTCATTTATAGATATGTGATTTTTTTTACTGTTATGATAGAATTTCTATAACTGTATTTTACTTTTCAACAACTCAAGTAAATCTAATAATTTCAGTATTCATCTAATTTCTGTCTTAATCTTATTTTAGATTTCATGAGTCGATCTAATACTCGCTGGGGTGCTCGTCAACCTCCACGTCGTGGTGGCGGTGGTACTGGCGCTGGTGGTTATGATCAAAATTATAATGATTACAGTTACGGTCAACATCACTATTCCGGAGCTGGATACGATTACGAGTCATATGATCAATCACAAACAAACTATGATCGTAATTCAGCATCGTCATCATCATCAAAACGTTATTCTTCGAATCGAAATAATTATGATGGAGCAAATCATTACTATAATCCACCACCTCGTCATGCAAAAGGAAACGTTACAGAAAACAATAACAACAATTATAATACTACTACTACTAGTACTAGTACTAAAGCAAACCCACCGTCTAGTAAAAAACCCACCACCACCACAACAACAAGAAAACAAGATTCTGAACCTATATCCCCAATGCCGAATAAAGAACAGGAAACTCCGGGTAAAAATTTATTTTCTAACGAAATTTCATTTTATTTAAAAACGGAAACTTGATAAAAATTCATTTGCAGCAGCACTTCCTAAGGATACTATGACTCATACAGTTATGATTCTTGATGTAAACAAGGTCGATATCTCGATTGTGCAATTCTCGATCTTCTTTGTCTTTTGTAATAAATTAGTTTTCAAAAAAGTCAATCCTAGTTAACTCATATGTAAAGAACAAATGTTAATTTATTTATTGTTTTTTCCTCAAAGCTATATATTTTTCTATTCATTATCAGATTCATATGCTTGGCGAAGAAGATTCTAGCAGGAACTGAATCTATTTCAAAAAAGTATTCATCCTATCGGAAAATGAGAATATGAATAATAAAATCCATCGAGAATTCTTTATTTGTTTTTTACATCTAATTAATTTTTTGTGAATTCAAAAACATGTCTATCTTTAGTTGAAACTCCTACAATATCAACTGAAGTCAAAGTCGAACAACCAATTGAATCAACTCCTCCGATTGAAGAATCTAAAACAAATGAAACACCTATTGAAGAATTACTACCACCCCCCGTACCCGAACCACCACCGGAAGAAAATCTTGATTTGATTCGTCAACAAGTAACAACCTATTTTACTGAACGTAGTGATCGTTTAAAGCAACGTCAAGAACTTCTCGAACAAAATCTCCTAGCCGAGAAGACTCGCCTAAATGCCGAACAACAACAAGCCGCCATGACACGTTTAGATTCGAGTATAAAACGTATACCACCATTTATAAAACGTTTACGAACATTAACCGAACAACAACGTGATGCTCTTTATCGCGATATGCAAGCATTAAATCTAACACGTTATATATCGGAAGTTGCGACAGCATTAACAGAAGCAAAATTAAAAATGACTGACGTATGGACATCAGTTCAAATGTGCTCATTATTACATCAACGTTATCCAGATTTTTCGATGTCGCTCTATGAAAACTGGTTAAAAGTTTTACAAAAAGAAACGTTAACTGATAATCTATCTAAAGTTCGTGTTGATTTAAGATTGTATGCTGAATTAGTAACTGTACATGTATTACCGATAAATCAATCAATAAATCATCTTTTAACAATATTAAATGCATTAATGAATAATGATAAAGATTTTTCAAATTTAACGATATTAATTAGTTTTTGTCGTTTATGTGGTGAAGATTATGCGGAAATATTTTCAAGTAAAATTCGTAAATCAATTATTAAATTAGATGAAAATATTGAAGAAACAAATAAAAGTTCGTTTCATTCGAATGAATTAAAACAACAGATCCGACAAATGTTAGAGGAGTATTTTCAACGATTGTCTGTTTATCTTGTTGATGAACATAAACAATTACAAAAACAAGGACAATTAATGAAAAGAACCATGGAGGTAATTGTAAAGTCAATGATGAACCAAAGGCGAATATGACAGAAACCTATTTCTTTCTTATCTATTGAGATTTGTATAGATAATGAAGGATACCACTAGGTTTCTTATGGATAGAAAAATCTTATTATTCTGAGACTTTATATTTACAATTGTTCTTTTTTTTATTCTTAGAATCGTGGTGAAATCAATCAAGAAATCAAAGATAAATATGAACAAACGAATACTACATTTCAAAAGCTTCTACAAAATACAGAAACAATCGCTGATTTATTAGAACAAACAATGCCAGAGTTGCCAATAGAAGGTAAGATTTTTACTTAAATTGATAATATGAAAATTTTCACCGAGAACCATCAAACGAATCGTTTCATTCGAATGTATAGTTTTAAAACAAAGAAAATAATAGAATCTTGTAATGTACTCGGTAAAAGTTTCAATATCCAAGGGTTCAACCAACGAGTAGACTTTCCTAAATAACCATAAATTAAAAATCAATGGTATAAAGTTGAAATTATTGCATGAAACTATATCAGCTGATACCCATAGGAGAATTTGTATCTTTGAAGATGGATGTTTACTTTGGACTTGACACCCAAATACAATCCATTAGACTAAATGAACCTTCTGATAAAAAATCGACATGATCTTTTTAATTTTATTTTCTTAAATAGAAGCTTCAAAAAAATCAAGTGATCGTACTGGTATTGATTTTTATCTTGCTGGACGATCTGATGATGTAAGTTTGAGACATATCTAAGTTAATTAAAATATGAAATCAATTATTTCTAAGGATCTTGGTGGTAATACACTCTGGGAAGATAGCGATGCAAAACAATTCTATGAAGATACTGTTGATTTAAAACTTTTTCTTCCTGGCTATGCTTTCCGTGAACCGGTTACGACAACAGCACCAGCATCTGAAGGTAAATAAAAAAAACTAGTCATTTCTATGTAAAATAGAATAAAAAATTTTCTTTCATAGAAACTGAAACACTTGATTCAGTACAAATGGAACAAGAAATTGAAAAAGAAGGACTTGAAGTAACATCAACTGTTGAGGCCGAAGAAGACGATGCAACATTAGTTGATATCGAAGGTTAGTACGAAGCATTTTGGCTATCAAATTTCATTATCAATTCTTGATTCTAATTTTAGATGGAGTAGAAGAAGACGTAGGTGCAAATAATATTAAATTAATGATGGATGTTTTTGTAACTCAATTACCAACATGTGTTAATCGTGAAATGATTGATAAAGTACGAGTTGTTTTTTTTAAAACAAAACTAGTTTTCCTGGATAAACTAAATCTTTCTATTTTAGGCTGCTCGTGATTTTGCAACAAATTTAAATACAAAACAAAATCGTAAACGATTAATAAAAGCTTTATATACAGTTCAACGTACATATTTGCATTTACTCCCATTTTATTCACGCTTAATAGCAACATTAAATCCAGTTATGCCTGAAATAGGCAATGAATTAGTTCGTTTATTAAAAAACGAATTTCGTGCGCATATCAGGCGTAAAGATCAAATTTATATTGAATCAAAAATTAAAACAGTTCGGTTTATTGGTGAATTGGTTAAATTCAGTGTTTTTCCAAAGAATGAAGCTATTAATTGTTTAAAAACTCTATTAAGTGATTTTCGTCATCACAATATTGAAATGTGCTGTAATCTACTGGAAACATGCGGAAGATTTCTTTATCGTAGTCCTGAGTGTCATCGACGAACTGAAATTATTCTTGTAAATTGATTTGAAAATTTTTTCTGTCTTGGAAATTTAGTTTTTTGTTTCTAGGAAATTCTGATGCGTAAAAAAGCTGTATTAACATTAGACAGCCGATATACAACACAAATTGAAAATGCTTACTATTATTGTAATCCACCGGAAGCTCGAGAAATTGAGAAGAAAATTCGTTCACCAATACAAGAATATCTTCGGCGATTACTTTTTAAAGATCTTAACAAAATTACTATTGAAAAGGTAATTGTAGCTATTGCAGAGAAAATTTTAATATAATTATGACTGTTAGTAACTCCACCAGGAATTCTCTATAATTTTATCTTACAACGGAGTATGGAAAAGACACATCGACGTTATGTTTCTAATTAGGCTAAATCATTTCCGATAGTCTCTCGCGAGAAAACACCTTAATTACTTTCGGCAATCGTTAAAAAGTTGCGTAATGTTGGACTGAGAATTTTTACAAAGTGTGTCCACATGGTTTCATTTCCATAGAAAAGCGATTGCCATGGCACGTTAGACTAGAAATTCTCCCATTCGAATCTGTACAATTTATTCCTAAGTCCTGGATAATAACAAAGTTTTCAATTTGAATAATTTTTTTTTTCAATCATATAGATTCTTCGTCAAATTCGTAAATTTAATTGGGCCGATGCAGATTTTCGTTCCTATGCTATAAAATGTTTAGCAGCTCCTTACAGTGTAAAGTTTAATTCAATTCCATGTCTGGCTAGTATACTTTCTGGTTTATCACATTTTTATGTAAGTAAAGAAAACCTTTGTTACAACAAAATAAATATTATTTTTATATAATATTGATTAGGATGATGTAGCTATTGAAGTATTAGACAATGTTCTTGATGATATTCGTTTAGGACTTGAAGTATGCATCATAAAAGAATGTATTTATTTTTCTTGATAAAAATATATTCATATTTATTTTTAAGATAAACATTCCAAAATTTAATCAACGACGTCTTTGCATGATTAAATACCTCGGTGAATTGTATAACTATCGAGTTGTTGATTCAATAATTATATTTCGTACATTATATTTATTAATAACCTATGGTGTCAGTCTTGAGCGTAAATATACAAAAATAGATTTTAGTTCTTTTGTCGTGTAAGTAGCTGGCATTTTTCTTTTTCTTTATTTAAAGCTTTGGAAATAAGTGATCTTGATCCACCAGAACATTTATTTCGTATTCGTCTTGTTTGTACATTACTGGATAGTTGCGGTCAATATTTTGATCGTGGCACGAGCAGAAAACGCCTCGATTGTTTTCTCATCTATTTTCAAGTAAAAGAAATTCTTTTTTCGAACTGAAAACACGAAAATGAAATATAATTTGCTTTCTTTTCAATAGAGATATTATTATTTCAAAAAAGAACAAGCAATATGGAATCCATCATCGTATCCGTTTCCACTGGAAATCGAACAGATATTTGATGAATGTGTTATGGATTTAAGACCTAAATTTAGTAAAACAAATTCACATGCGAAAGCTTGCGAACAAGTAGAAAATATGGAAAAAGAATTCATAGCTTTAATAAGTAAGAAGCCAAATTTTCATAAATATTTCAATTGGATATAATCATGAAAAGTGCACTGGAAAATCAGAGATTCTCTTAAAGACAATTAATTGAATAGAATGTCACATTATTTTGAGCTCACAGAAAGTTTTATTTTCTCTAAAATTTCATTGTTTATTGAATAGATCAACAACAAGCTAAAATGGCATCGAAAGATATTTCGCATCAATCACGAGATACAAATTTAGCACCAATAACCGAAGATGAAGAACAACAACAACAGCAACAACAAGTTAATACTGCCAATCCGGACGATCTCCTTAATGCTCAACAACAAGAAGATGAAGAAGTAAGAAATTTAATTTAATTAGATTTACATAAAAATAAAAATTCTTGTTTCTTATTTAAACAAAAAAAAAGGACGAAGAAGATAACGAAGAAAATTATGATGACGATGATGATGACTGCCATCGAGCAGTACGCAGTCGTCGTACACGTCCGAGTGCTGGTAGTAATGAACGAACAAGTGGTGGTAGTGGCGCTGACGAAGAATGTCCTGAAACCGATGACAATGATGCAGCTGGCTTAGATGATGAGAATAACGGTGCAAATAAAAATTCAACGGAACGAACCAAAGTCACAACTGAAGAAGATAATGACTTTGTTAAAGCATTTGAAGCATTAGTAGCTGAATCTGTTGCTGTAAATTTTTATTTTTGAATAATTATATGTTTATATATATATATACTTCTTTTTTCTTATATAGCAACGTTCAAATGATTTAACGAAAATTCCAGCGCCAGATATTCCCGTACCAGTTCATTTAAGAAAAAGTAAAATAGCATCAGCAACAAATATAAATTTTTCACGTAAGATTTTGTTTGTATCATGTTTTTTTCTCTCATTGATTTTGTATTTATTTTTTTAGATAGCGACGGTGATGATGAAGGTGAAAACAATAATAAAAAACCTGAATCAGTTAATTTTGTCGTTATGCTTAAAAAGAATAACAAACCTCAAGTAATTTTTTTAGTTAAATATTGTTCCGGTTTTATCAACGAATTATTTTAGTTTTATAATATGGCTGTTTCGAGTACATCGGAAATGGCATTGAAATTAAAAGCTCGCGAACAGGTACATTTTAATAGAGAAAATTTGATTTAATAATATTCTTTTTTAAAAATGTTTTCGTTTATCTAGGCTGATCGTGAAGAAAAAGCTCAATTGAAAATTCTTACATTGAATATGTCAACAAGAATGGAACAACAAGAAAATGACCAAGGTTTGTTTGCGAATAAAGTTTTATTTTGTTGAAGAATCATTTCTTCTTTTTTCTAATATAGAGTTAATTACGAATGTAACAAATCGCACGCCACAAGCAACAGGATTAAATTTAAATAGAGACAAAAAACCGAAATATGTCCCACCGAAAGGTGCTCCCGATGCTGATATTATCTTTGGATCGAAGTAAGAAATAATCAAGAAATTTATATGTTTACGATTATATCAAATAGCCAATGATATCCTAAAGAGTTGTGAGAATTTCTTATTGAAGGAAGTCAATATTTAGAATCTGTAAGCTTCGAAATATAATCAATTTCAGTGAGGATACAAAACATAAGATTAATCTATTTTGTGCATGCTAATAACTACTTTACTGCAAAAATAAATAAATAAGATATTTCTCAAATGTTAGAAGACGATGAAATTGAGTTTAAACGAATAGAAAGGTCTGAATAAATCACTGAAACTTGATGACACACTTTCTCTCACGATCTCTCTATAAAATTACAGAGCAAATGCCATTTGATACAGAACTTCCTTAGCTACTGAAGCCTATATTCGGATTTACTTGGCATCATTGCGTTCAGTGAAAAATGATTTAAGCCCATGAGCAACTCATAATAATAACTGAGTGTTTTTATTATTATTATTTATTCTCACACCTATCTATTCAATATTCTTTTTTTTATAGAAAACGGTGAACGAACTCCAGTGTGGAAAAAAACATCAGACTTCAGTTATGATGACTGCTATCATCTACGCAGTTGGATAAATATGGAATTTACGCATGATTACATGCAACATTGAAACAGAATAGTCAGTTGGCAAAACGGATAAAAATGTAATGAAGTTCTTTGTGCAGTGAGTCACTGGAGAAAAAAAATCTTATTGAAGTCTGTACTTTCTTTTGTTTTGTCTTTCGTTTGTTTCTTTAATTTTTCTTTGATTTCTGTATTGGTTACTATAACAAAAATAACATTGAAACAATGAAAAACAATTAGATAAAATCTCTCTTCATACACATTGTAGACTTTTAAAAATTTCCTTTTTCTTGTTCCTGTTTGTTTTTGTTACTTTGTATTACCATATGCTTATCTGCTTAAACAGTCACCATCCATTGTGTGCTTTACTAACAAAAAAAAAAAGAAAGAAAGAGAGAAGAAAATGCAAATAAAACAAAAACTATGTAAAACTTTATTAGTTTATTGTATGTGACTTAATTTATTAAGGGGCCAGTTAAATTCTATATAGTCTTTTTTTCTCTCACGATAAAGAACTGTAGGTATTCGGCATTTTTATGCGATAGTGTGAAAAATATGCTATAAAAGTTTTTCCTATTTGTTAATTTTCTTTTAAGAACGAACTACGAAATAAATAAATGGGAAGAGTAATGATAATAAATGTGAAAAATATATATCACATAGGAGAATTTGACATTAAGCAAACATATCCAATATTCATCAATGAGAAATCAACTAGTATTTAACAGTGGATAGTAATAAACGAAAAGGAATTGAATCGCCAGCGAAACTCCTAAATAGTAATGTTCCGAGATTCCGTAGCCATATTCAAACAAAGAAAATAATTATTTAATTTTGTTATTATCACGCATCGAATTTATTGATTAATTTTTACGAATATATTTTTCTATAGAATGAGAATCATTTTCATGCGTAACAATTTTATTTTCAATGAATGACCTACAAAATAACTGTAATATTCTTTCGTTATTGTTTTCTTGAAAAAGCTTTAAACAAAACGTAATAATAGATATTTTCGATAGTATTCATTCAAAATTTGAACAATCGTTTCATTGAATAAATATTTAAATAGGCGTAGATGTGTTGGCCAAAATTTCATCTGAAATATGTTATGCGTTATATGTGCATCACCATACTGCGAAAAGTCTAATTTTGTTGGCCATGCTAAAAATGGTCTTTCACGATCAAGACGTTCCTAAGTAAAAAGAAAATATATTAAAACAATTAAATATACTCAATTCACTTTCTACGTACAAGCATTTTTCTTTCGTGAATTTTTACTTGTTGTCCTTCTGTTGTCTTGTTCAGATAATCATAGAGAAGCATAGTTATTAAAACTTGGTCCATATCCCATCCGGCCTTAGCTCTTATTGTCGGCATTTCATATACTTCTTGAAATTCGTGTCGTGCATAAAGTGATAGAGTAGCAAAATCAATTGTCTTATGTTCATTTAGTAATAATGATTTTAAATCTCTTTTTGAATAGCTACGCATGAATTGATATTCATAAGACCCATTTAAACCCGAATGAAAATGCTCAGTGATATTAATTAATTCTTCATGTATGAATGATTGAAGAACCATTTTTCTCCATAGACGTTTTTTCATGTATAAATGACTCATTGGTATCATTTGATAAGATCGATTTCGCTGAGTAAAGAATCCGCAACAAAACCGATTCACGATAAAACCATCAGGATAATCTTTTGTTAACATATATTGTTCACGACGTAAAGGTATCAAATCAGAATCGGTTATTGTAAAATAATCATCATCATTAGTGAAATTCATTGGTAGAAAGGCCAGAAAAATACGAATCAATTGAGCCACTCTGGTGTCATATCCTCCGGAAGCTTGAAAGTCGTATGTTATACCACCGAATAGATGAATATGATCGATAATAAGTTCAATATCTTCAGATTTTTTATGGTTTTTAAGATTAATAAAATCACCAACGAATATAACAATGACTTCAAACCCTAAACGACGCCATGCAAGAGTTACGATTGGTGTATAGAAGCAATAGGCTTCACGTGATGAAATTGAACACGTTGCAAAAACATATTGTTTTGACTTTGCGTCAACACGATCAGCTAGAAGAGAATCTATATGCACAGATTCCACAACTTTTTTTGTTGTTTCTATTACTGGTGTTACAGTTTGTGGTCGTAGTAATACAGGTCGAGATAGATTTAACGTTGATAGAAAGATATAGATAAATAAAAAAGATAATGCGACTATTATACATCCAAGACAGAAAGAAATCATGAAACTTCTATTAGAAATTCGCTATAATCAATAAAATTTATTTTTAAATTTAGCAACAAGAATAGTAAATAACTAGCTTACCCTACTGATTATAGATCTTTCGTTGGAATATTTAATAAACATTGATGGATTTTCTTTTAAGTTTGTCTCTACTTTCACATAAAAGTGAACTTTTTGTGAGCAGTGATGCAAAAGAAGTTAAGATCTGTTCACATTTTATTTTTTGCCCTATAATTGAAATTCACTGATGCGTTACAAAGCAATGTACGAAAGATACATCTAACCATCGATGAAATCCTACAGAACGAGAGAAAAAATCATCATCTATCAAATAGTTTTTGTTCATTTTTCCTATTCAGACAAAAAACATTCATCCAAAAGAACTCACAATGGCGAAAAGTAATGTAAACGTTACTGCTGCACAAGGTTTTGAACAAGCTGCTACCGTCTATGAACAAGCTCGTCCGTCATATCCAAATGAAGCAATTGATTTGATTAAATCGCTATACAACAAACCAAATACAATTATTGATCTTGGCGCTGGTACAGGAAAGTTAACACGTTTATTAGGACCAATCAATGCTCAAGAAATCATCGCCATTGAACCAGTATCCAAAATGCGTGAAAATCTGAAAAACATTCCTCTCATTACTAAAATCATTGACGGAGCAGCTGACCAAATTCCATTTGAAGATAACACAATCGATATGGTTCTATGCGGACAATCTTTTCATTGGTTTGCGAATCATAATGTTCTCACTGAATTAAATCGAGTATTAAAATCAAACGGTTTACTTGTATTACTTTGGAATATACACGATAATCGAGATAATGAATGGGTTGAAAAAATATCGAAATATATGGATTCATTTCAATCAAATGAAACACCACGTTATAAAACAATGGAATGGAAAAAAGTTTTCGATGATCAAAAATTATTTTCTTCATTAGAACATAAACAATTTCCTTGCAAACATCGAGTCACACGTCATTTGTTAGTAGATCGAATTTTATCAACAAGTTTTATTGCAATATTACCTTCAGAAGAAAAACTAAAATTAATAGCCGAAGTTACAAATATGTTAGAGAATGTTGAAGCAATTCGTGACAGAGAAGAATTCGATATAAATTATCTTACTGATGTTTACTGGTGTTCACCATTAAAATCATCATCCTAATCGTCTTCACAGTAATTAATTTTTTCTATTCGAATTAGTATTTTAATTTATTTTGAAATTTAGAAACGAGCTCTTGTAAAATTTTTTTTGGTAATTTTTATGTTAATTAAAAAAATATGAATCAAGAAACAAAAAAAAATTGTTTTACAAAAATGTTTTAGCTTAAATATTATTTCTTTAGTTTTACTTTTTCAATATTTTCAAAAATTATATTAACATTAATTTATTTCAAGTAAATTCGAGTATGCAGTTTAGTAGAAATGAATGTCAACGAGTGTCTATGATATGTTCAAATAGTTTTAAAGGACTCGTTATACCGTCTAGTCTAGATAACTAGATTTTTAAAATTGTTGAATACAGTTTTTTCTATGTAAATATTACAAGACCAGAAATAAGTTTGTTGAAACAAAAATAAAAATCTATTTTCAGACCGAACAAAAGTCACAGTTCATTCAATCCGTACAGTCATATTTGAATAGAAATCTTTAATTTCATCAAGCCTTTCATTCTATTCGCTAATATTTAAACAACCAATTCGCATGTATGCATGCGAAATTAGAAATACATATAAACGAACAACTTTTTTCACTTTCATTCAATTCAACCGTCAAAATTTTGATTTTCTTTTACCTATTGTTTAGTATAAAATAACTCGGCTATTCAATTGTATGAATTGATCTGTAGTGGAATTCAAAAGCCTCCCTAAACAATGCAAAAATTGACTAACGAATCATCGAATGTCATGAATAAAAAGAAAAATAAGCATCTAAATTTGTTTATATGAATAATTTTCTGAAATCATCATCTGCAATAACTCGCGATTCGTGAAAAATGCCATTGATGTGATCTACCTGAAAAAGATCTGAATCAATAGTTTTCTAATTTTCAACTAAATCAACGTTCATAATCAACGAAAAACATTTGAACATTTTTCTTCAGAATCAAACAATTGAATCACGTAATCAATGCAAGTGTGTTAGACGTTTGAAAAGAAACTTCACAGCGTTCATTTAATTCCTACGAGAATAATTTCGTTATCCCACTTATTGAATTGTCGTTGATAGTTGTTAGACATAGGTCACATTCGCACTTCAACTATTCATATCTGGCAGTGAAAATAACTGTGATATAGTTACATCATTTACCTGTTCTGCGCATCAAACGCAACGTTTATAATTTTTTCTCTCTACTAAACAGACTTGTTTGTTGCCATTTAAATAGAAATATTCTTTTGAAATACATTTAAAACGAACCGCTGCAGGCGTTCAATGAGAAAAAAAAGCCGCACACTCCGTATAATAGGAGCGCACTGTTTTGGTCTCATGCGTTTCGGTTGATTTATAGATTATTCATTATATTTAAATTTTATTGATTAACATTTAATAACTATGAAGCGAATAGAATAAAAATAACTAACTATTAGATTAGTTTATATTTCGTTGATAAGAAAATTTTCCTCCTAATGTCTTTCTTTTCAAAACAGAAAACATATAACAATGGAAAAAAATTGTTTGTTTTCAACCACTCGTCATAGCGAATAGTCAAAACACTGACAACATCCATTACAACATTGTTTTTATTTTAGTAAAAAAAAGCTAAGATATTACGAATTTACACATGAAAGAAAACTAAAATCATTTTAATAACGTTTATTTATTTAAAAATATGTTTGTTTTTACATATACTTCGACACAAGGCTATCCATACTATTTGTAGTAGTACGTTCAAATGCCGTAGTTGCTCGTGGAGGCGGTGCTGCCCTAAGGCCAAAATTTCCTCCTGTATAATGTTCACGAGAAGTAGTGGTAGCTGTATGTGGTCGTTCTAGAGTTGTCATTGTTGTTTGCACCGATTGAATTGGTTGACTTTGAAATGTTCTCTGTGGTGGTTGCTGATCGGACCCAGTTGATATGAGACGAGGCCCAGCACTTTGTGCGCGTTGCCGCGGCGAAGCGTTATTATGGTTATTGCGATTATTGTAAATATTCGGAATAACACGAGGTTGTAATGTAATAGGTACGACTATATTAATCATTTTATCGTTTGACGTTGAAGGTTTCGTGTCCTCATTGGCATGATTCCAAACAAGACATGATGCAACGCTTGTACTATGTTGACTCCGCTGTTGTTCTACAAGACGTGTACGTGTTGTTAAAAATCTTTCGAATGTTTCCCGACGAATCTGTTTCGATTGCTCATTATCCGGTTGACCATGTTTATATGCCATTGAATAAGCAGTTATATCTGGCGTCGATGATGTTGTAGCATCGTCGCTAGCAGTATGGGTTGGCTGAATAAATTGAACTTCGGATAGTATATGTGGTGAAGTTGAATCTCGATTATAGTCATCAGCATATGATGTTATTTTAACTTCATCAACGAATGCGCTACGATCAGTATTTTTGGGTACCCAACTAACAAACAATGGATCGAATTCACCGCGTGCATTAGCTTTAGCTTTTCGTTTACCGAAACCCTGTAGATGAACAATTTTTGTATGTGAAAATATATATATATATGTACACATTTTTTTCTTTCTTTTACCGTTTGAGTACCGCGAACAAGTGGATCACATTCGAATTTGAAACGATTATCATGTATAGAAAATGCATGATTAGTAGCTTCAGTCTCAAATTAAAGAGTAGAAATAAAAATTATTTAGAACAAATAAGAACTATTCTACTTTTTGTCGATCGACAAATTTTCTGGGTGGAGTAGGTCGAGCTAATTGACGAAAATAATTGCATAGGTCAGCTCGTGACTTAGCTCGAAAATTTCCGTAATAACCCGTTGGAAACTATAGATAAATAAATATGTTTAACATTTAAAAAACATGCTATTTTTAGTTTCTTACCCATGAGCCAACAACTCTTTGCGCATCAGTTGATGTAGCTATTGGTACTTGTCTAATTTGAACTTGACTCATATCTCGTAACTATCGTTTATGATCAAAGACAAAATAAAACGTGAAACATTTGTTTGTAATCCGTACAAAAGAATATGTGCCTTTCGTGTTTGTGTTGTTAACAGCGACACACGACGACGACAACGTCGTGAAAAAAAGTTGAATGACAGAGAGAGAGAGAGAGAGAGAGAGAGACAAAATGAAGAGAAAAATTGTTGTGAATGACACTTAAAAATATTGTTCTCTCTCTCTTACTTCGGCCACACTGCCACTGTACTGCTTGTATAGTCAAGCAATACTACTAATTTTCCATTTTATTTTGTTATTTCAAAGAAAGAAGAAAAGAAAAAGAAGATTAATTTAAAGAAAAATCTTGTTCTGATCTTCCTTCGAAGCCAACAAAATCTTTGCATAAAAGTATTCATTATACGATTTTAAGGATAATGACGAATATATACCTTAATTTATTTCTTCTGATTGTCAAGAAACTAGCATAGAATAGTTCGAACATTGATCAACAGTAAATCATGTATTTATATAGAAAATAAATGCAAAATCCTAATATATATATACATATATCTCATCTTTGTCAACACTTATAGCTGGATTAGTTTTTTTTTGTGTTATTATTGCAAATGGCATAGCCATCAAATAAAAGAATCACATTTGTACGGCAGATATTTGCTTATCAAAATAAAACGTGTGTGATTGATACAACCTATTGATCCTTGATGCGAATAAAATCTTCTTTTCTTTCCAGTAGCGATGAATTTTTAATCGTAGATCACATGATCGAGAGAACGATTGTTTATGAATTCAGACATTTTCGGAGTTCTCGATGGCATGGACAGGGATTTTTATTTAAGAGCAAGAAATGTTTTTGCTGTCGAAATAAAATCGCTTGGATGTCCGCATTATTGTTTTTGGAAATAATTTTCGCCACTCCACTCACTACAAGAAGTTTTTCAAGAGTTGAAGTGAATGGAAAAAAATAGTAAATGAATCGTATTGAATAATTTTATTACTTTTTGCATGAATCAATGAAGGATATGTCATAATAATTGAATCAGATAGAGGGAGCTTTTAATTTTTTCCTCATGATTATATATTCAAATATTTTTGTGCAACGTCAATATCTAACAAAAATATAGGATCGAATTTATCTGTAAAATCTGTGCTATAGTCTAATGTAGAGCATTCGTGTGGCAGATACAAGAGAGATCATTAAACAAAAGTCTATCTATTAATAATAATGCATAATAGTAGAACGATGAATTTTCATAATCTGCAACAATGACGCATAAAAAAATTCATCCACTTCTAATCGTTTGTATCATTTGAAATATCGATCGACTCGTTCAAAAGTAAGTTTATTCAACTATCTTCTATCGGTATTAGCTGTTAAAATAAAAAAAGACATTTGTTCATCTGAAAATTGTTCATACGTTCAAATAAACATTTTTCGAAAAAGGTAATTTTTGAGAATAAATTTACGATGCAAATAAGAATAAAGATGTCTTTACGATTTACATACATAATTTACTGGTTCAATGGAGAAAATTATTTAATACTCTTTTTGCAATAGGTTACTTATGCCATCTTTCGATAAGCAGTCTTGCGTTCATACCGATGAAGAAAGGGCATTTCCATCGCTTTGATTACTCACAATGGTAACTCATTGACAACTCTTGGAATTTGTTTTTTTTTCTTTCTTTCTCTTTTTTTCTTGTTTCCTGTACGTTTTCTCTTGGTTTTTTGTATATACTATCGCTAGCTGTGGGTGGTTTATTGAACGACAACATATAAACTTTCAAAACTTATACGTAACACCACTTGAATTAAACTGGCTTAAATTTCTCACTAACACAATAGATATTTCATTCGACGTAATACACCATGGATGTGCAGTCATCTTCGAATGGTCTTCATCACATCGTCGGTTATGGCTCAAATTCAGTTGTTCTTGCTCATTGTAATAATAATAATCATCACAATGATTACCATAATTTTTATGTCCCTGCACCTCGACCACTACCAAAAGCAACATCGTCCTATCAATTGTTACCTGTTGTAAATTTAGTACCCACAATTATCAATGTACCAGTTCAACAATCGAAAAAGCAACAGCAATCACACGGTAACCATCGCTAATATATATATATACGTTGTTATGTTTAACTATTTGTCTATTGCAGTTGTTCGAGATGAATTTCGTCAAGAACAATATCGGCCAAGTAAATAATTTTAATATTTAATTATTTCATTTAATTTCTTTTGAATAAGGTCGAGGAGCATCAGCATTCATACCTAGGTATAGTTCTTTTGATGATCCGCATATGCAAGATTACTATGCACGAAAATTTGGTCGACGACCAAAATCAGTTAGAAGTTCAGCTCGATCAGACACACTTTATCGAATTACAGTTAAAACAGCAGATAAAAAAAATGCCGGTACCAATGCAAAAGTATTTTTAAGTATATTCGGCAAAAAAGATAAAGTCTGTCGAAAATTACTAACACGTGAACATATGTTGCGTGGTCAAAGTCAACTTGCATTGTCAGTAAATGGTCTCAATAAAAACTATGCAGATGACTTATATAATATGGAATTTACACGAGGCGCTACAGATATTGTTTACATTCGTTGCCGAGAACTCGGTGTTATTCACCATATTGTTCTTGAAGTAAGACACAATTTTTGTTTGCAGGAAAATATTTTCAATATTCTTTTCTTTTCAGCACACTGGTCTCTTAATTGAACAAAGTTGGTTATGTGAATTCATTCTAATAACAAATGTTCGCACAGGTCGCCAGTGGTTTTTTCCTTGTAATAAATGGCTATCATTATTTGAACCTGGCGATGGTTCTCTATCGGTTCAACTTTATCCTAATGATCGTGCATTTGAAAATGATTTAAGAAATAAATTCTTACCAAATAATACGGGTAAAATTTTGCACTCGAATTGAATGGGTATTGTTTGTACTATTGTCTTTCTTTGTTTGTGTAGAATATCACGTCACAGTTGTTACTGGTACTCCGAATGGTGCTGGTACAGATAGTAGAGTTTATATAACATTATTTAGTGACGATGGAAAACGAACTGAAAAACTCCAATTAAAAACTCCAATTAACAACAATAAAAACCCATTCGAGCGTAATCAAACCGATGAATTTCGTATAGCTGGTGATTATATTGGAGAATTGGTTAAAATTCGTGTCGAACATGATAATACAGGTCGAGCGGCTGGATGGTTTCTTGACCGAGTATGAAAATATTTCTTTTCTGTTCTTTGAACTTGACCAAGTAAAAGCATATTCATGTTATTTTATTAGATTGTGGTAACAGATTTGTATGAACCAAAAGTACGATATTATGCTAATTGTAATAAATGGTTAGCTAAAGATGAAGATGATGGACAAATTAGCCGAGATCTTAAGTTACACAAAGATATTAAATCAGGAACCAGTAAGAAAATAAAATTTCTATTAAAATCTGTTTCTTTAAGAGTTTTTCTTTTTTAATTTTTTAGTTAATAAATACAAAGTAACAGTTTATACAGGAAACAAAATGGGAGCCGGAACTGATGCAGATGTATTTATTACTATCTATGGTGATTCAGGTGAAACAGGGGCCATTCAGCTTGATGACAGAAAAAATAATTTTGAAGCTGGAAAGTAATTATCAAGATATTGTTTATTATTGAGATTTTTATGTTTATTTTTTTTTCGAATAGGAAAGATGAATTCGTAATCGAATGCCCTAATGTAGGAGAAATAAATAAAATTTTAATTGCTCATAATAATAAAGGCGCTGCGCCTGGTTGGTTTTTGGATCGCATACTCATTGAAGACCTTAGTGAAAAACGTATCTATGAATTTCCATGTTACAAATGGCTAGCAACAGATGAAGGTGATCGGCAAATATCCCGTTATCTTCTTCCGAAGAAAAAAGGTGATGGTGATCGACTGGCAACCGCAGGTAATTGAATTTATGCAAAATAGTTAAAAAATCGAACATTGTTTTCTCTTTATCAATTTTTTTTCTAAATTACGTTTATTGAAGAAGGTGAGTAAAATCTACATAGTTGAGGTGTCCTCTTTAATTGTATACTGTTGTCCTTTGTCTTTTATGGAGATTGAAAATGTAAGAGCAAAAAACTAAATGTTCGCTTGTTTTAGGTGTTCCTTACAATGTAACAGTATATACGGGTGATAAATCAAATGCTGGCACAAATGCACGTGTTTATATTGTGATGAATAATAGAGAAACGTCATCAAGTAAAATATTTTTAATTAATGGAAAATTTGAACGCACCGATGTTGATTCATTTATAATTGATGGCCCTGACGAACTTAGTCCATTAACATCGTTGATTATTGGACATGATAATAGTGGTTTAGGACCTGGATGGTATCTTGATAAGGTTTGTTGATGAGAAAAATCAAAATTGAAATTCATATTCTCGTAAAAACTATCTGAACTTCGTTAAAATAAATCGAATCGTAATTTTTCTCTCATCCAAAATATTCCTACATTTACAACAAAATAGAGAATTTTATTCTGCATTTAATTAAGTTTTGTCTTTGACTTGAAAAAGTTTGAAATAATGAAGCTTTTTCTTCTACAGTAAAATTCACTTGAAAAGACCTTTTACCAAAACCAAAAAAGTGCGAAATCTTCTTTTTATTTCATTTATTGCGTATCGAATTTTTGTATGAAAAAAGTACAGCGAAATAGATGATCGATTTCATCGAGAATACTTTCATTACTTTTTAGAAACCCTACTATGGTTTTAACTGCGATATGAAAAAAATCCTTTGTTAAAGTTAAGTACATAGCTTTTTACAGCTTGAAGTTTTTCCATCTCTTGATTTACAAGTGAATATTTTATATAAGTAGTAAATATTTGCAACATAACATTTACAATCAGTTCAATTCATTGTTGCCCCATCGTTGCTATCAAATATATTGACATTGAAAACCTGAATCAAGGCTAATCAACAGTTGTAAAATATTATTATCGCACTGAGAAAATTCTCTTTAATTACGTTAAAGTCAATAAATTTAAACAATCAACTAGATCTGAGTGCTAGGCATTCAAAGAACTATTTTTGTGTACTCAAAAAAAGTGAGTACACTCTGGATTCGGCCAGTGTGTCCGGTCGTTAACACGATAACCTTTGAAAGCCTCATCCAATTGTCATGAAATTTTGTACACATAATGATCTCATTAATATCTCAGTCGAGTTCGAAGACGAGAAGGATCCGTCAAGAAATGGCCGAGTTATCGAAAAAATTATCAGTACTGACCAGGTCATCCCTGACGGGGAGTACAGAGATTTTTTTGAAAAAAAAAGTTTTCTTAGAATTATGCACAACATATATAAATCGACTCACTTTTTGCAGTACACAACAATCGGATGCGAATCCGATGTTTCCTCATTTACTTAAAGGAATAGTTCTAGTATTTTTCATCGATCTTTATACACTAAATTCTTTTCTTTTTTGCTTATAGCCAATACCGTGACGTACATATATTAACTCTCGTATTCTTATGTCTTGATAGAGCTTCAATAAATCTTGAAAAAAACATCCGAGCTGATCGATATGTTTTGTTATCATATTATGATGAGTCTCTTTTACTTTATTCTTGTCACTGATACGTAAAATTTACTTCGTGCACTTCTTATTTCAATAAATAAATAAATAAATATTTGAGTTGTATTTTATTTCAACATTTACTGATTTTATGTTTTAGGTTGTTGTCGATTGTCCAAGTACAGGCATAGAACAAACGTTTCCGTGCAATAATTGGCTAGCCAACGACAAAGGTGATAAACTTATCGAACGTGAATTAAGAGAAGATCCTTCACTACGTAAAGTTCGTCCGCCAAGTAAATTACAAACTACTGTTTCATATATATTTTCATATCAAAATTAATCAATTTTATTATTATTGTAGCCATTCCATGGTACATATGGGTATATACAAGCGATATTAAAGGAGCAGGCACCGATGCTCATGTACATCTTGTACTTTATGGTCACAACGGCAAATCTGATGATATAAAATTAAAAAGTGAATCCGATGTATTTGAAGCTGGCCAATGTAATGAATTTAAAGTTGATATAGCCGATGTTGGTACACCATTCAAATTACGTGTTAGTCATGACAATAAAAAATTATTTGCACCGTGGCATCTCGATCGAGTACGACAGACACAATATGAATAAAGGAAAATTTTCGATTTTTAACTTTTGAGCATATTTAGATTGAAATGGAAAATCTTAAGACAAAGAAACGATATATTTTCACTTGTGGAAGATGGCTATCAAAGACAGATGAGGATAAACAAATTATACGAGAATTGCCAGCTGAAGGTCCAGGAATATCAAAACCTTTGCCTGTTGTTAAATATACGGTTGATGTATATACGGCAGATAAACGTAACGCTGGAACAGATGCAAACGTTTTTATCAATATTTTTGGTGAATGTGGTGATACAGGAGGTTAGCATTGCGATATAAATTTAATCGTTTACAAGTTTTCTCTTTAAAATAAATATCTTCTTTTTCTAGAACGTCCATTAGAATATTCGGCAAGAAAAGGAAATAAATTCGAAAGCAATCAAGTAAATATGATCGTGAGAATATTTCAGAAAAACAAAATTGGCGATTGCATTTTTTAGATGGATAGCTTTGTTGTCGAAGCTGTTTCATTGAAACACATACGAAAAATTCGCATTGGCCATGATGGAACAGGTTAGTTTATCGGTTAAAATATTCTTTTTATTCTTATTCGTTTACATTTAAAACAGGTCCCGGTGCTGGATGGTTCCTAGATAAAGTAGTCGTGCGTCCAGAAGATAAACGTTATGAACAAGCAACATTTACTTGCAATAGGTGCAGGAACAAAACGAAACCTATGATTCATGAAAATGATAGTATTTTCTTTTTAGATGGCTCGCTGAAGATGAAGATGATGGACAAATCGTTCGAGAATTAACTCTTCAAAGTGCTGCTCAATATTTAAATAAAACAACATATAATGTCAGAATAAAAACTGGCGATATTTTTCAAGCTGGAACTGATGCTGATGCTTACTTGAAAATTTTCGGTGATAAAGGTGATACAGATAAAATTCATTTGAGAAATTCCGATAATACATCAAATAAGTTTGAACGCGCACGCGTCGATCATTTTACATATGAATTTGATGATCTCGGCAAAGTTAGTAGTTCGCTGTTTGTTTCGAAAGAAAATTAATTCTACAATATTATTTAGATTCAACATATAATCATTGGGCACAATGGGAAAAATGTTGGATCAGGTTGGTTTCTTGATTGGGTAGAAATCGATATCCCGATGCGAGGAGAAATGTATAGGTAAGATTTGCAACGTCATCGATATTGCTTTATAGCTATACTTATTATAATACTAACATTTAATTGGCAGTTACGAACTCGATAAGAATAATATGTTCTATTTTCAGACGTTTGATGACGTGGAATATTTTCGAAGAACGTGAGAATGACCTATGAACAATGAAGATATACTTTATAAGATAGATTCTTTGATATTTTGGTTAGCATAACGATACACCAGAAGGAAAATTGTATAGATGATTGTGAGAAATTTTTAAAAGGAGTTGCTTTCGTCTATTTTATGAGATCGTTTTGAAAGATTGCAATTAACAGTGCCTGTTTATATCATCATTTTTTAAATTTCAATTCTACATGTTACTTTCTTCAATAGATTTGTCTGTAACCGTTGGTTAGATAAATCCGAAGGCGATGGTAAAATTGAACTTGATTTAGTACCATCAGATGTCATCCAAAAAACTAGTGGTAACTACTTGAATTTCATTAACAACTTTAAATAAAAGAAAGTACTCGGCATGTTCCTTTTTATTCTTCGAAGTTATTCCATACGAAATAACTGTTTTTACTGGTGATAAAGCTAATGCTGGTACAGATGCCAAAGTATTTCTACAAATGTATGGTCTAAATGGTAAAACAGAAGAAATTGTTTTGAAAAATAAATCAGATACATTCGAACGAAAAGCGGTAAACACTTTTTTTGACATTTAGAGAGCAAAAAAACACAACCAATTTGTTTCTTATATATACATTGTAGGTAGATAAATTTAAAATCGAAGCTCCCGATATAGGACAAATACAAAAAATTCGAATTGGCCATAATTCAGAAAAATTAGGTTCAGGATGGTATCTTGAAAAAGTAATTTTTTTATTTCATTGATGTATTTTTGTATTCGATGGAAATTATCTTTCAGTTACTTATTCAACGACATCTCGATGATAAATCTGATAAACAAAAACGAGGTTAAATATTATAATGGCGATTTGTTTGGCTAATTAGTTGAAATGTTTCTAGGATTTAAATCTGGCCGATCGCTTCGTCTCAGTCAGATCAGTGCGACTGATCCGAGTGTTGAAGAATATTGGTTTGTTTGTCAAAAATGGTTCGATAAAAGTTCGGGTGATAAAGCAACAGTTCGAGAATTATTGCCAACTGATGAAAATGGAAATGTATTAAGCGATCGAAATGGTACGATGTGAAATTTCTTGTAGAGTTAAAAGTAATAAAAAGTGAGTTTTGTTTTTCAGAAGTAGCTTACGTCGCACACATATTTACTGGTAACAAGTCTAACGCTGGTACTGATGCAAATGTTTTTCTAACGGTTTATGGCGAATCGGAAGACTCAGGTAGAACATGAAGTTGGCAATAAGATTTCATCGAAATTCTTTTTTTCTAAATAGGTGAACGTGAATTGGCACATCCGATAAGCAAACATAGGAATAAATTTGAAAAAAATCAAGTTCGTTTTAATTTTTTTTCTTTCTATTAACTGTTATTTTCCTTTGAATTTATTTTAGGAAGATATTTTCGAGATCAAAGCTGCATCATTGGGCAAATTAAGAAAAATAAAAATACGGCATGACAATTCAAATGTATGATTAATAAGTGATGAGTGAATTTCATGAGGTTCTAGAATTCTAATGATCGAAAGAAAAAGATTTGATTTATAAAATATGATGAATAGGTCGAGATTGGAATATTATTTTGATATGAAAATTAGTTATCGATAAAAAAAAATAAATGGCGAAGATCAGTTGATAGATGTGTAAAGCAAGAAACTGTGAAGTTTCACGAGAAATTTTGATTTGCGTTCGTTTTTCAAAACATAAACATTAGTTCAATTTTTTTTCTAGCTTGGCGCCGCCTGGTATCTTGATCGCGTAGAAATTTTCGATCCAGAAACAGATCAATCGTAAGTTTTAATATTAAAAATCATAAGGCAACATTTTTTTGGTATTTAAAAGATACCTTTTCATTTGTCAAAAATGGTTGGCTGATGATATGGACGACCGGGTGATATGCCGTGAAATTCCTGCGATGGATAATAAAGCACTGCGTTTAGCAACTGCACGTGGAAGTGCCTCTGGATCATCGATGGATTACGGTTTAGAAATGAAAAGTAAGTAATTTTTTTCTTCAAAAAATTTCTTCGATAAATCATCGAAAAGCATAAATCATAACTGTAACCTCTCTCACTTTGGCTATCTTCTTCTCTGCAGTACTCATCCATCGTGGTTCATACAATTAACACGTATCATCGAGCTTTTTTATTGTTTTTTTTATTTGTTGCTGCGGATTGATATATATATATACATAATTATCGTCTGCAATTGTTGGAATTGCGAAAACAGTACTTTTTCTTTCATCTTGCTTTTCTTAGCATTTATGTTTCATTGCATGTTTTGTTGGTCCCCGTTTAAAATAGAGCTCCACCTTGTGATTTTGAAATCTCATCGTTTTCCTATCTCTACTTGTGTAAACTTCATTTTAATTAATTTTTCTTCTCTAATGACAGATATAGCGACTACCTATAAAATTAATGTCATTACAAGCAATGAACGAGGTTCTGGTACAGATGCTAATGTTTATATTATTATATTCGGTAAAAACAATGATACAGGTAGAATTGACATACTGATTGAAATCAAAATAAATAATTATTATTTTAATAACAGGCAAAGTTCCATTGGCAATATCAAAAACGCATAAAGATCCATTTGAACGAGGCCATACCGATTTATTCGAAATCGAAGCCATGGATATTGGCGAACCAAAAAAGATCAAGTATAGATAACTGTCTCAAAAAGAGCAATGAAATGAAATGAAATAATTTTCATTTTTGTTTCTGTTTAGAATTGGCCATGATGATGCAGGTATGCTATCGGATTGGTTGTTAGAACGCGTCGAAATCGATGTACCAAAAATGGGTCGCACATGGGTATTTCCTTGTGGAAAATGGTTAAGTACATCGAAAGGAGATTGCCAATTAGAACTTGAACTTTATCCAAAAGCTATGGCAACTGAAGTGTATACACCACGTAAGAAACATCAATCCAACAAATAACTTGATTGTTGAAAATATTTTCTTTCCGATAGATGTTCCATATGAAATAAAAGTTGTTACATCGAAAGTTTCTGGTGCCGGAACAGATGCTAACATTTTTGTTGAAATATATGGTACAGATAAAACAACTGGTGAAGTAATGTTATGCAATAAAAAAGAACGAAAAGGCAAATTTCAGACAGGCTCAGTAGATACATTTGTACTTGAACTGGAAGATGTTGGCCAATTTATTGAAAAGATTCGTATTGGACATGATAATACTGGCTGGGGTAAACAAAGAAATAGAAAATAATATTTAACTTATTTGTTGATGAAAATAGGTGCAGCATGGCATTTGGATCGCGTTGAAATTCGTCGATTGGATAAAAATAAAAAATCGAAAACATTTATATTTCCATGTGATCGTTGGTTTGCTAAAGATGAAGATGATCATAGTATTGTACGTGAACTTGTTCCAGAGAAAATTCTTGAGGAAGAAGTTGGTAAAGGTGGAAAGTTAAAAGTTCGAGAAAACGAAGTTCAAAATCGACTTGAAAGTATGAAAAGAAATCTTAAATTTATCGCTCAAAAACAAAAGCATAAATCTCCTTTCTTTCTTTTAGTGAAAAGATATACAATTGATGTTTATACAGGAGATAAAATGGGTTGTGGGACAGATGCGAATGTGTTTTGTACAATCTATGGCGATAGAGGTGATACAGGCGAACGTGAATTAGCAAGTTCCGAGACTCATATGAATAAATTTGAAAAAAAACAAATGGATAGATTTAAAATTGAATCTGCTGATTTAGGAATAATTTATAAACTTAAAATACGACATGATAATTCTGGTCCATTTGCTGATTGGCTATTAGCTAAGGTTGAAGTTAAAGATGATATCAAAACCTATGTATTTCATTGTGAACGATGGTTGGCTAAAGGAAAAGATACCAAACTTGAACAAACACTCTATGAAAAAGTATTGTCAAAAACGTTTTACTTATTTTCTATGACTATGATCAATTTTGTTTTGTTTCTACTATTAAGGATTACCAGGGTTCCATGAGTAGTCTAGGATCTATTCCTCGTTCTGTCACTGGCTCAAAATTAAGTTTAGCATCGAGCGAGACCGATAGTAAAGCCGATCGATTTCGTCTCGGTCAACGTAAAAATATCATGTCGAGTATAGCCGAAGAAACTCGAGATCCAACTGAAGAAGGCATTCCTTACACAGTAAAAGTTAAAACCGGAGACAAATCAGATGCTGGTACATCAGCACATGCACATATACGTTTAGTTGGTCGTAAAGGTCGACAAACACGTTTGGTACCATTAGAATTAATGCAAAAACGACGTTTTGAACGCGGCAAAGTCGAAACATTCTCATTGCAAGAACCAGATATTGGAGATTTAGATGCCGTGGAAATTGAGCACGATGGCGAAACAGAGGCTGATAGTTGGTTTCTCGAAGATGTTACTGTTGAAATGCCAACAAAAGGACGAGCATTTTACTTTCCATGTCATGAGTGGCTATCAAAAGAAAAAGGCGACGGACGAACTAAACGAACGCTTAAAGTGCAAGATTCCAATAAATCGACGTTTCGTCCTTGTAAGATTGTTGTGTGTTTACCTATCGAAGAACTTGCATATTTTCATGAGGGAAATATATTTTATGCATACCACTTTTGTCTATTAGAAACCTAAAAAAATAGGGTCGAAACTAAATTCCAGCACAACCAAAAATAATGATTCAGGGAAGAACAGAAGAATGAAATCTATCACAAAACACTCATGAGATCTACTCTAATCCTATTGACGTCTTAACGACATTGCTCATGCATGCATATTGATTTTTCTTGTTTTGTTTTCGTTTCTAGTGATTCCATATGAAACAACTATTTATACTGGAGATGTTGAAAATGCTGGTTGTGATTGTGATGTTAGTTTGAAATTATTCGGCACAACAGGCTCATCATCTGAACATGTTATATCCAAAGACGAAGGACTTTTCGAACGAGGAGCGATTAATCCATTTAGATTTGAATTGGATGATGTTGGTAAACCAATTAAATTACGTGTAAAAATTATCCCACAGCATAAAAAGGGTCGACATAAATGGTATTTAGAAAAAATCGAACTTGTTAAACATACACAACATAATGAAAGACAAGAATCGTACTTTTTTGGTCTTAATGACTGGATCTCACGTGAAACAGATTTTTGTCAAGATCTAGCATTAACTAAAGGCGGAAAAGCCCTAATAAAACACACAACGTATCGTGTAACAACTAAAACTAGTGATATGAACGGTGCAAGTTCTGATTCAGATATTTCTATTGTTATCTTCGGTAAAGAAAAAAACCCATTTTCTAGTTTAATATAACGACGTTTTGTCTTTCGAATTTCCTTTTGATTAGGTCAATTTGGTGATAGTGGAGAATTGAAACTAGACGATTCGTCAACGCACCGAAATAAATTTGAACGTAATAATGAAGATGTATTTAAATTTCCAAATATTTTAAGCTTGGGAGCGCTAACAAAAGTACGTGTAACGAATCATGAATCATCATTGTTCAAAAAGGCGTGGCATTTGGAATATGTTCAAGTTGATGATGAACAAACAGGCCAATCCTTTATGTTTCCATGTAATAAATGGTTATCATCTTCCGAAGATGATAAGCAAACTGTTCGTGAAATAAAATGTGATAGCGATTCATCGGACTCCGTTCGACGAGAATCATTAACACCAGGTGGAAAAGTTCCATATGAAATTGAAGTTGTTACTTCAGACAAAACAAACGCTGGAACAACACAGCATGGCTGGATTATTCTTGAAGGAAACAAAAAGAGGTCAGATAGATTCCCTATGAAAAATACACCACAGAAGAAAATTTTACGACGGTAAGATATTTTTCATTTCACATTTATCTCTTCATCATATTATATATGTGTATAGTGGACAAACGGATGTGTTTACATTCACATCACGACCATTGGGTGAACTACGTCGTATAATTTTGGGTCATCAAGAACGACCTGAATATCAACTTCCATCTTATGAAGGTCGTGAAGCTCAATGGCATGTTGCACATATTACCATTACCGATCCTTCAACAGGCACCAAGTGAGAGATTTATTATTCGTGATAGTTTTGTTTTCTTTATTCTTTCTTTATATCTTTCTAGATATGAATTTCCCATACGAAAATGGCTTGATATTAATAATGATGGTGACGCATTTCAATGTGCTGATAAGCAAGAAGATGCAGTAACACAACAACGCCATCGTGAATCCATTAAATATAAAGTCACTGTTTATACAGGTGATGTAGATAATGCGGGTACGGATGCGAATGTCTCAATTATTATCTATGGTACTCTTGGTGACACGGGCCCTCGGCCATTGAAACAAAAAGGTCGAAATTTATTTGAACGTGGTCAAATTGACGACTTTTTTATTGAGACTTTAGATTTAGGTAAGAAACAGTGTTTCGATTGATTTCAAAAAACGAATATTTATTTATAACAGGTGCCTTGAATAAATTACACATCGAACACGATAATGCTAACTTCTTCGCCGAATGGTTTCTTGAGAAAGTTGAAGTGACTAATACGGAAACAGGAGAAACAATTTCATTTCCGTGTAAACGATGGCTCAGTAAAAAACACGATGATCGCCAAATTCAACGAGATCTATTACCTATGGAGGCTTGATAAACATGTGATATTTAATTATTTTCTTTTATTATACTGATTTTGGAATTAGAATGAACATGACTAAACATAAAACTGTATTCTTTTCCGCAATAGAGAACTGTGAAAAAGAACCGAATACAATATATGGGTGTGTGTTTGTGTGAATTTGTCTTCTGTTTTTGCTTGACGACATGCGCATCTTCTTCCTTTTTTTTGTGCTGTTGCTTTTTAAAATAAATACTGATTTTTTTTTGTTCTTCCGTGGAAACACAGATTTTATTTTTCTCAACAGGCAAAAAAGAAGTTCATTTGTGACACGATTGCTTACTCAAAGAGAATAACGAATTCGAATACTTTTTACGATTACAATATAAAAATAGAGAAGCCAAATCTAGATGCAGAAAATTCGATCAGTGCTGATTTTCGAGTACAAAGGGTTTTTCAAAGAACAGCACCTCATCAATTATGGCGCCAATTCCATACATTCAAAAAGCAATGCGATTAATCATTGAGCAACTATATAGCGTATTCTTCTTCAGTATTTGTTCATTCGGTTCATACGGTTCAACAGAACAGCATAACACATGTATGAGTAAACCATTAACTTATCATGATGTTGAAAGACATTTTAATTATTCATCATCAAATCTATTCTTTTTGTTCGGGATAAATATTCATCGACCATTTCTCAATGAATTTGATCAAACACATGCTGAAGCAAGCATATTTATAGTAGTTGTTTGTAAAAAGAACTCATCTAATTGTATTACACAAGGTGAATCATTACCAACTGAATATGAACTTGAGTTTAGTGTTGATGGCGTACCTTACAGTGACAAGAATTCCCAAATTGATCGTCGATGGCATCGAACAAAAGCAGCTAATTATGAATTTCTTTATGAGCCGTTTAATTCTCATTCATGGTATGATAAGCCAGGCAATGAGCAAGGCTCAGTTTGGAAAAATTTCATTATGAATAGTAAGTAGAGATATAATTTTTTACAACAGAAAAATATATTTCGTTGTTTTTTTAGTGGATTCGTATGAACAGGAAAATATTCATGCGAAATGGGTAAATTTGAAAAGATTTTTAGCGCTAAGGGCCTGCTTTCTCAGCATCATCATCAACTGAAACAGTCGATTCAATTAGTTCCGAATGTGACTGTGCGTACAGCTAGAATTTTTCTATTGACCACAAAGAGAGATACATTATGGCAGAGACTATAAGTCTTTCTTATGAGTTTTAAGTATTGAACATATGAAGTTCAAATGACATTCAATAAAATGAGCATTCGCTGTTGGATATAATCTGGCATGAATCGTCGGAGAAATCGTTTTTTTCATTTTCTTAAAAATAATTTTCTAAATCACATTTGAAAGATACAAGCTGTAAATCAGACCCTATCCAACAGGTTACACTCAAAACATAGCAATCACTTATGCCCTGATGATTTAAACGTTCTACGGGCTCACGTTGCATATTGTCAGATTTCAAATCTGACTGAATTGTTCGAAGTTAAATCAAAAAAAAATGATCGACGCTACATAGTTCTGTACGATTAGGTCGAATTCGATGTAAAACTTAGTGATGCCGGAATGCAATTTATTGAAGGTCAACAACTGTATAACAATGTTGTTGTTCAACAATTTAAATTATGTATGAAATAATATTTTTATTCAAATTTATTCAATAGATAAAATCATATTTAGATTTTTTTATATCAACTTTTCAATGTTTACAACCACCGTTCATTTATTTTGATGGTCTAATTTCAAAGAAAACTTATCTTTCAGCTTTTCATTTGCAATTAATGTCAGATAAATGTCATTTATATAAGTATACATGTTATTTGAATATGAAAAGAATTAGTACAAATAAATCAACAGAAATAACATTTCATGAAAGTAACACGATAAACATTAGTATAAATAGTCCACTGCTATATTCTCAACGAATTTCAAGTGAACAAGATGTAAAACCTTCGAATTTTATCAATCGTATTTATGAAAGCGTAAATAAAATTTAAAATTAAGAAAAAATTCACATGACATATTTAGGTGACTATTGAAACTAGTGTTTCATTATCTCATAATCAGTTCTATCTTGATGCTAAATGTATCAATAAAAATTTGGTAACATCAAGACAATTCCTGTTATGCACACAAGATTATGTCAAATATGACACTTCAATAGCAAGATTTCGTATCGATATTATTCTATGCAAATTTACAGCGGCATATCCTGACCGATGTAGCTATTCTCTTTACGAGTAATTCATTGATTTTATAATAAATATGAATTGATTTTTCCTCAATTTTCATTTCAGATATATATTAGATGAATATTTACGTTTATTTATACCGATTGAAGGCGACAATATCACATTTATTGGATTTATACGTCTTGATAATGGATCATCCAGCAATGAATGGTAAACTTACATTTTAACAAAATAAAAAATTCATTAAAATTATACTTGGATATCGTTGCCGGAGAATTTTCGGACGTTTCAAAAAGTTGAAATTCATTTCTCTCAAAGACATTCAGGCATCGGAGCAGTTAAAAATAATTCTACTTCATTCGATCGCAGTTCACTTAGCGATATAAACGAAAATAGCAGATGGTCGAAACACTTCTCTCTATTCACACTATCAATTAGATATTCTGTACCATTTTTAATGTGAAAAATATCAAAATGATGTAAAAATTTTCTTTTTTTTCTAACGATAAGATTCAGTTGCGTTGAAGTTCTATGGGGATTGTTAAAATTTGTAAGATAGTCAACTTTGAGTCAGCGATACACGAGGATTATTTCTCATCTAATTCATATACACAGAGGATTTCGTTGTTTGTTTTATCATGCATTATCCGAGAAAATCTCATAGTGATACTCTTTTAAATGAAAATATACGCTATCAAAACTAAACTTATTCTTATTTGAATTAGGAGAAATCATCTTAAAGAAAGCTACGATAAGATATATGCAAACGAACTACAAAATACGTACGATTATATGATTGAGATTAAATCGAAAGTTAATAGTGAAAATTCAATTATTCGTTCTTATCAAATTATAACTGATCAAATTCATGTCTGCCATCTTATATGTCGAACTAATTGTGTTCAAAAATCACCAGATCATACAGATTACTTTGTATCAAAGTCAACTGTAGAATTAATATTACTTTGCTTTCAATGTAGTTTTACTAAAACTTACAACAGTCTAAATCACTCGATTCTTTATTTTTTTTCAAAATTATCACGTGATTCTGCATTACTCCGAATTCAAATTACTGAAGAACTTCAACATGTATCCGTGAATTGTTATGATGCTCAAAATAAACAATATTCAATCGAAGGAAAATTTCATTTCAGAAATCAAACCAATAATAGTCAAGAATTTTTTTGTTTAATCAATCCGACAATTATCTATCCGTATCATGAAGACATTATACTTGAATGTAATCATTCTTATACACGTTCAGATATTATTATTTGGGCGATAACACAATTAAGTAAGTATGAAGACCAAATAAGTCTCCTATAGCAATCAAAGTTAAAGTAAAATAAATGTGGAAACTTCGGATTTCATCCGAAAGTTATGTGTACTGCAAAAACTGAGTCGATTTATATGTGTTTTGAATAATTCTGAGAAAAAAAATGTTTTTTTGAAAAAATCCCTGTACCCCCCCTCAGGGATGGTCTGGTTAATAATGACAACTTTTTCGATAACTCAGCCATTTCTTCACAGATTGCTTTCATCTTCGAACTCGACTGAGATATTGATGAGATCATTCTGTGTACAAAATTTCATGACAATTGGATGAGGCTTTCAAAAGTTATCGTGTTAACGGCCGGACGGACGACCGGACACACTGACCGAATCTAGAGTGTACTCATTTTTTTGGAGTACACAAAAACACAAATAAGAAATTAGTATAGACGACAACCTCGTGGAAAACAAGAAGATGTCCATCTGTTCTGTTTTGTCACATGCATATGATGTTTACATATTAAAATACTTGTACACGACAATAACCTGTCTCTTTTAGATAGTAACCTTTTTTCCTATTCTGTATGTTGAATCATAGATATCTGCATTACAGGAAAAAAAAGGAAACAATACTTCTATGGGAAAATTGACTATAGTATTCATTCACGCGCTCACCAGGAGCAAGATGAACCATCGAGATGCACGATGAACACAATCTATATTTGTTCAATTAGATTGTTACAAGACAGAAAAAGAATTCAACACTTTTCCTCTATCGATGATGGGAACATTGCATACTAAATATTTTCTTCTTCTCCCTCCCCCCGAATGAAATCACACTATTTCGAACGTCTATTGCATAAGATAACAACACACTAGATTTGTATGAATATTCGCTAGAACAGTTAGCATAGACTGTAAATGAAGTGCTATTGGTATATCCGCACACACACATATCGTTCTGTAATATATGCAGTTGATGAGTGGGTATTTATCAATGTTACATATTCAATAAGGAAGCAAGTCAATAAAGCATGTATTATTTGAGTGGGCGATGAACAAGCTGTGAAATTTTGATGATGCTATAATCATCATCATCATCCGATTCCGAATGAGAACTTTTTTTTCGACACTGATTTAATTCATTAAAAACAATATGAACTGAACTTTTTCAAAACTGGAATAAAAATGATAATCGAAAAAGAATTTTCTTCTTGTTTCTGCTAAAATTTGATCAGTCAAACTATTTATCTTTTCTTTTTCTTCTTTAGAAGAGAGTAAAAGAAAAAACAGAAAACTTTTCGTATTCATTTATCGGTATCACCTTTGATAACCAAAAAGGTTAGATTCAAAAGTCAATCACCCGCCGAGTGCAAATGGAAAAATCGCACAAAATCTAAAATTTAACTCGTGTCTCTTCATTTGTCACTTAAGTTTCATATAATGACAGTTAACTTCGGAACGAAAAATTAAAAAATAAGTATTAAATCATTTTTCGAGGAATACTCCTGTTCATCTTCTGTGCTTTGACGCCATCAAGCATGTCAAATTATATCTGTTGGATCGTTTCATTTCCATCTCGCCAATCATCGGCGCAGGGAACATCTTCAAACAGAAATAAAAAGAATTTTCAATGATCCTTTTTTTCGTTCCTTCTGTTTCTTTTTCGTTATTCATATGTCGCATGGACCAATCATTGGCGTCAACCACCTACTGAGCATGTACAATAGAGAGAAAGAGAGAAAAATTTCAAAACGAAACAAAAAATATGGTCAACCATCCCACCATTTTATGACTAGAGACAAATTGTGCATTTTCACAAACGACCACATACATAGGCAAACGAAAAAGAAAACATGTTTCCAAATCATTATTCACCATCAAATCCCTATGCTGATTTTTCAACATACAATACAACTTCATCATCATCAAACATAAGCAGTATTGGTAATTCTTCCTCGCCACCTCTTTATCATCAACATCAACATATGTTCTCTGCAGCACATTTTTCCAATGATAAACTTCAACATTCACCAACAGGTTATCCGTCATTTGCTATGCATGGGTTAAATATGAATGTAAATGTTACTATGAGTCCTGTTTATGTACCAACGAATAATCTATCAATATCTCAACCATCACCATCAGTTCCATTGAAACCCTTTTATTCATCTGATGAAAATGGCACGAATTCATTGGAAGGTAAATAATAGAGATTATTTCCAACTGCGTGTGTCAATGCAGATGATCGTTTCTTTTGCGAGGTGCTAAGTAGTATTCATATGAGTACTGATAGCAGAAGACAAAAAAAATAATCTCAATTGATTTTGATTCCTAGAGAAAAGATAAGCCGAACATTTTCTGTGAAAATCATTCGTCAAGAAGTCAAACTTCTGATTAATGAATGAAAAATTTAACAATAGAAATATTGCGAGAAAAATTTCAATATTATTTTATTATTGATTACGAACGAAATTTTAAGCATCAAGAAAACTTCAAAAACAAACTTTAATCTGTCCATTGATCTTTTGTCTATGAACACTTTTTCTGTTTCTAAAGATCGTTCGATAATAATCGATTGTGTGAACCGAGTCAATTTATCGCATAGGATCTAAATGCCAATAGCAAAAGACTTAATTTTTGTTTTACTCATCTCATCTCATTTCTATTTCTATAGAAAAATCAGTCAATACACGCGTATTAAATGGCAATGAAACTCATCCAACACAATCACAACCACAACCACCAACACTTTCACTACCTAAAATGACTGCGAAAGGGAAGAAGATACGTAAGCCACGTACAATCTACAATCCACTTCAATTACAAGCACTTAATAAACGTTTTCGTCGTACACAATATTTAGCGTTGCCTGAACGAGCTGAACTAGCAGTTAATCTTGGTCTAACACAAACTCAGGTGAGTTTTATATATGTTCAGTTGACACATTGAGGGTCATATGTATAGCCTAGAGCATGACATATTTTATTGTCTTTTGTTTTTATGCTCCACATATAAATATGATGAATTGAAGATCATCATTCATGATGTCCATCTTCGAGCAAAATGTCTATATATCTTTTGCATGAGATAGGATAAGGAAAAATTAATCGAATGTCATTGATTTTTATGACTCACTTGCGCAATTATATTCGCTAGAAGTTTCCTCTCAGAAAACGAGTCACGACAAACAAAACAAAAAATGAAAAAGAAAGAAAGAAGGCGGGATGCATTATCGACTAGCTCAAATTTGATGTATATATAAATTCAAAGACGCATCAGCGGGGAGCTCAGCATTGCGTGAACAATCGAGAGACGAGGGCAAATGGTCGGCATGTTTGAAGAAAAGCGAGAAAAAAATTCTTATCTGAAATGACAACGCCCACTGTGGATACTACGAAATAAGATCGTATTCATTCATGTGTAGACTATTTTTGAAGTCAAATCATTTGACGTTATATCTGAAAATAGTTTCTTTTGTTTTTATTTATCTTTGTACGTATGTACGTATATATCAATGAAATCAGCTTAACCTTCCGTCTTGCATTTTATTTTACTTCTTTTTTTTTTTTGAAAATGAATACCCGACTGATTTCTAAATATTTCACAGTAGGAAAGAAAAAGTAAAATGGGCGTCTTTTTTCTTAAACACAAAGACATTTTCTCTTTATATACAAATCACGCACGCATTGATGCTTTGTTCCCTTTTTTTTCTCGCTTTATGCTCACAAGACAACCTGTTATTAGAAATACACATTGTGAAAGAATATAGACAGGTAAAAAGATGTATATTGATGTGATGGTCAGTATAAACCCTGCGGGTAAATGCGTTGTAAGATCTATGTGTGACATCTCTCCTCCCTTTGCCTCCCATACATACATATACATAGTACATTGATGGGACAAGGACAATACATGATGACCGATACGCCCTTCACACACACAATATCCAGTCGATAGAGATACACACATATAAAAAACTATCTATAAGGAAAAGAAATGCTTGACTAAATCGGTGAGTGATGATAGATAAAAGTTACGGTTATTTTCTTTTTTTATTTGTTGATATTTGATTAAGATGATTAACTAAAATAATAATCATGTTTTTCTTCTTTGTTTCGTTCTCGTTGTCAAGGTCAAAATATGGTTTCAAGTAAGTACAACTAGTTCTATGATTATTTTAGAAAATTGATTGTTATTTATCAATTTGTTTTAGAACAAACGTTCAAAGGAAAAGAAATCTAACAGACAAGGTAATCGCACTCGCCTATCTAATGATAATGATTTGAGTTGTAACGGCGAAGAAATCTATTCGGATGATGAGACAAGTTCAACATCAACTGATAACAATGATTCATCTTTACATGCTACACAATCATTAGCACCTGCATGTGAAAGTAAAGATGTTGATGTGACTACAGCTAATCAAACAATGATCAAATCATCACCTAATATCTATGAACAGTCTTCGCCACCTTCTCTAACATCTTCTACAATGATTTCGACGACATCGACAACAACGGCAACAACACCACCGCTACCACCACCACCACAATATCCAACAAATGATTTTCTTCGAACAAATTCAATGTATTTTGATTATGGATCAATGAATGGCTTTTGGCAACCGCATATCTATGATACAACTCATAATATGAATGGATATTATCAACAATATCCACCAACAATTCACACTTAATAAAATTTGATTCTTTGAGTGTTGTATTATCCGACTTGTATATCGATTTAATTTTGCTTTGAAAATAAAACTTGTGTAATGAATATTCAGAAAGAAAATGTTTGCTCTTCACAAGCGTTGTCGTTTCACTATTCATTTTATTGAATTAAAACGAAAAGTTAGATTTAGTTTAAGAACATGAATAGTATTTTTTGAGTTTTTGAATATCGAGATCACTCATTTTCTCGCCACGCCCCATCTTCGATTCCCAACTTTTGCCCACACTAGTAGTAGGTACTATTGTTGGACGACCATTTGACGAGAAAGCATCACTTCGATAATGCATTATGGATCCTATGAATAATAAATATACATATCGTTTTTCGATATCGGAAAATTTTTTGTCTTTGATTATTTACCATAGTCATAAACTAGACCCAGCGTGTCAGCATCAGTTCTAGAGAATACATCGAAATTATGTTCCATACCTGTAGAGTATCGGAATAAAATGAACTTGAATGAGAGTTTTTTTTATATCGAACCTGATACAATATTTTGAGTTTGTATGCGTACATATTGATCTCGATCGGGACGAGTTTGTTCATGAACGAAGCCAAGAGCATGTATGAGCTCATGCAATGCTACCTGATGGTATACACAGCCAGGAATTTGAAGTGATAGATCCTGAGGACCACTGCTCTGAGTTTTACCCATAAACGACCAACATCTATATTTAGTTTTCGTTTTGTATCACCTGAAGCAAAGCAATATATTGATTTTCTTACCCTTGACCTGGATGAATTCTTAACCAAACTGGAGTATTAGTAGTGCGCCAGACAAATCGAATACAATTATTCGTGTTTTTCATAATTTCAAGCATAGCACCAATAATAATATTCTTCTGCTCGGTTGAGTAAGATGAATCGAATTCAATAGGTACGGTACCATCGGGCCATTTCGGACTTCGGATAAACGCAGTGCGACCATTTTTCAATGGTACTGCAATATCACCTTCTATGAATGTGGCACCAGGTGCATTGTTCTCTGATAAACCTTTCAAACCGAACAGATTGGCGACATCTTGTGAATCCTCCAAAGGAATTGCATTGGCCTCGCAAGAAAGAAATATTAAGCACAAGTAGAGTTTGGCATAACGTAACATAATGACTTGAACAGTGTCTATCATTATGCAGCAGACGCTGGATATTTATAGGTATAATTAAAAGAAAATAGTCTTTCTCACTCGCGTTACTTAAAAAACAAAGTGCAGAAAAATAGAATCACATTATGGCAAGGGTTGGTCGTGTTAGATATCATACCAAACCATGTGTGTTTTTCTTTATTAACGTCACTGAATCATATACTAACCTGCATAGCAAATTAATACTACAGTTTCATGAGATTTCTGTTGAATTTCGAAGCCTAAACTTTACGCTGGAAAAATAAACCATTTTCGATCATCATTCTATTAGTGAAATCAATCATACGGATTCTATTTGAAAAGAAATGTAGAATAAAAACACTATTTGATATTATGGAGTAAGTAGCTGTTTCATAAATGGCACTAGTTATCAAAATTCTTAAAGACTTGATTCATTGTGCATCCTCTCCCAAACTTCATCCAATGGTTAATTTTTCGAACGATAGAAAAATTTCATGAATTCTCTGAATGCTATCTAGATATTTTCTACATTTCATACTGATTCCACACATACGGTTACTTTTCACTCATACTATATTGGTGTTCATGAAATTTCTTCCAACGAAGCAAATCTGTAACCCAATAATGATTTACGTGTAAGGAGTGTTGTATCTGATCGGTTTCAGTTGTATGATGTGATCGTTGGCTGAAATGTTTTGTAAAAGGACAGTATAAGGATGTTGGTTATTTCAATTTTAGATTCAAACAATCATGGAGAACTTGTCGTAAAAAGTAAATACAGTGAATATACTTACATTTTCTATAATCTATCATCCATGCAACATGATAAATTAATCAAGCAATCACTTATTCATAACTCAAATTGAAGCTGTATAAAGGCGAGAGTGTGAATTCTCAGTATTACTACTAATGTTTTGCTAAATATTTATTTTTAAATAGAGTCCATACTGATATAATAGGCTAATAGAGTAATGATCATAAATATTTCATGTTATTTTGGTAGATATTAGGTTTCAATGGATCAACGAAAACTTGATCAAACTAGTACCAACAATCTCGTATCAATATATACTCTAAATACAGCTTTACAATTCAAGGTTGTTGAGAAAAACAACACGAGTGTGTGGATATGGTCTCATATACGAACCACTTCTTTAATTTGAGTCGTGTCTTATATTTTTGATTAGACTGGTTTATCATTGATAACAAAACTAACGTATAAATAAAATTCAATACTTTATATACTAATCGACAGTCATTCCTGCTCATTGAAAAAATTAAGAAGAATATGCATTGAGATCAGTTGAAAAGTATGATCTACTTCTCTCATATATTGATTTTTCTCCTGCGTGCTCCTTGGAAATTCTAACGAAATAAAATATTTTACTCGAAGTTGATTCGGGGTCCAATTCGGGATAAAATAGAACTAGGATAACCATGTGTCAGATTTCATGATTTTTATGAATGAAGAAGATTACTCAATGTAAGATCGACGTAAGGGCAGAATCGAAAAACCATCGGATATACAAAGCAAGAATAGGTGAGTCGCCTCAGCAGGCGTGCCACCAATCTACACAATTAGCAAATGAATGCATGTTATTCAAAAAACTGGTCAAGCAATTCGTTTTCATTTCACAAGATAAACTGAAATCTGATTATTTTAACAGCATAGATATTTGAAGGAAACTCAAACACAGACACATTAATTTATGATACTAAGTCATTCATTGCTAACAATACATCTGAACTTGACCATTCTCATTGAAAACTTTTTGAAAGAGAGAGAAAATCAACTCATTTTCTTGTTAGATCACCCCGCAGTGCCATGATGAACATATAGAACACCTGTAGCTGTGTTGCTGAATATTCATTAACAATAAATAAACCGCGAAATGAAACAGTAGAGATCAATGGATTGTTTGTCACAAATATGATTATTAAAAGCATTCTTGTCGTTGTGAAACATGTGCTACTGTATCTTGCGAACAAACAAGAAAATTAAACAAAGCACGACGATAACAGATAGGAATGTAGAAGAAACGCTACTTAATGCTAAGAAAGAAAATTTTTGTTTCTTCTTCAGTAGTCTACTTTTTTCTTCGTATTGATTTTATTGCGTTAAAACGAAAAGTTAGATTTAGTTTAAGAACATGAATAGTATTTTTTGAGTTTTTGAATATCGAGAGCACTCATTTTCTCGCCACGCCCCATCCTCGATTCCCAACTTTTGCCCACACTAGTAGTAGGTACTATTGTTGGACGACCATTTGACGAGAAAGCATCACTTCGATAATGCATTATGGATCCTATGAATAAAAAACAGAAATTAATTAATTTTCCTTTCTTCCTAGTCCTCGATAATTTACCAAAGTCATATGGCAGACCCAGCATGTTTGTGTCAGTTCTAGAGAACACATCGAAATTATGATCCTGACCTGTAGAGTATGAAAAATAAATAAAGTATGAACGACAGTTTTTTTTTAATATCGAACCTGATACAATATTTTGAGTTTGTATGCGTACATATTGATCTCGATCGGGACGAGTTTGCTCATGAACGAAGCCAAGAGCATGTATGAACTCATGTAATGCTACCTGATGGTGAACACAGCCAGGAATTTGAAGTGATAGATCCTGAGGACCCTTCTGCATAGCTTTGCCCATGTACGACCAACATCTGCATTTAGTGTTCGTTTTGTATCTTATGAAATAAAACAATATATTTGATTTTCTTACCCTTGGCCAGGAAAAATTCTTAACCAAACTGGGTGATTAGTAGTGCGCCAGACAAATCGAATACAATTATTCGTGTTTTTCGTAATTTCCGACATAGCACCAATAATAATATTCTTCTGAGCGGTTGAGTAAGATGAATCGAATTCAACAGGTACGGTACCATCGGGCCATTTCGAACTTCGGATAAACGCAGTTCGACCATCCTGTTTCGGCATTGCAATATCACCTTGCATGAACGTGGCATCAGTTGCATTGTTCTTTGCTAAGCCTGTCAAGCCGAATACATTAGAAGCATCCGCTGAATCTTTCGAACGAATCACATGTGCCTCGCAAGAGAGGAATGTTAAGCATAAAACGAGTTTGACACAATGAAGCATTATGAAATAAACAATGCATCATTATGAAGGAACCTCGAATATTTATAGCTGAAAGAGAAGGGAGACAAACTTCGTCGCCAATGTTGTGTGGAAAAACTATCACATTAACGGGCATATTAGCCCATTCGTATTTTTCTTGTTAATCTTGTTTATCTTAAATTTGAAAAGATGGCATATTGATATTGATTTTACTAGCATTTTGTTGAATTTTAAATTCTAAAACCTACGAAAACAGAACACGAATCTCGCTCGGTTATGCCACGAGTAAAATGAATCATTTTGTACGATATTAGAGGATAAATAGGGAGCACAATGTGTGATTGATCTTATGAATTAAGCAGCTGCTTGATAAGGCTTTCGGAGCGGAAGCTTTTAGAAAATATTCCCGTGTTTGTGATATTTAATACTTGCGTTTATCTCGAAACCAATATTTTGATCTATGAATGAATAATCATTGATAGTTTATTACCGTCCTGCCTGTAGTTTATTCCAAATGTATGAAATAATTTATCTTCTGTAATCCTTAAAGGATCCTAGCTATGAAAATTCTTAAGCACATCATTAAAAATATGCAGTTTTTATGCTATTCGCCACAGCAATTATTGAATATTTTCTTGGCAACAGTTGAATAGAAGTCAAACACGAGTAGCTTACAGGATCTGCATAAGAGTGCAGTTCATTTATGTATGATTTTTAGAATTTCGGGAATGTTTTGACTCAAACTATACTTTTTTATTGATAAAAAAATTCATTTCCTCCGAGGACACAAAGTCGTAATTAGAGAATAAGTTGTTTTAGAATAGTCAAACCTGGTCAGATTGAAAGACATTATGAAATGTATGATACTGACTTATTCATATGTTCTCGACAGCAGAAAGAAGTGTTAGAGTGCTGCTTATTTCAGCGTTAGATGAAAATATTTTTGAACAGCTAATAATGAAAATCTTATAGAGAGAGAAATCTGCTGATATGCTCTACAGTCTATTATCCGTGCATCACCAGAAATGATTCAACCAGGTACTGTACCAAAGCTCAAATAGGAGCTTTATGAAAGAGTTGCTAAACTTAAAATTTTTCTAGAATGTTTTGTTACCTATATATTTTTCAAAGAGAATTCATAAGATATGAGAACCACTCCTTTAATTTAAATCGTGTCTTCTATTCTTTTCAGGGTTGTAAATATTTATTGATATTGATTTCTTCTTGTCGCAAAAACAAAATAACAAAGATATACACCGAGAACAGTTGGATAGGTTGGCGCTTTTGCCCGATCTTCGTCTTTCTCGTGCATGCTTCTCGGAAAATCTAGTCCAATGAAAGATTTTTGTGGTCGGAATAGGAGAAAAAACACACAATCTGACGATGATCAATTATCTATATGTATCCAGCTTTGAAAATGAATTAGATATTCAACAATAGAACTTAGATAGAACTGGAAGCAACACAATTAATATTCTATTGTAATTGATACATAAACTATGTGAAAATAGCTGTATAATCACAAAAATAATAAAAAGGCTACTCAAACAAATCTAAATAATTTGTTTTAGTGAATCATTTTCTATATTAAGGTGATGAGATTTTACTGCTTTCTATTTTATAAGACCAAAGTAAATTCAAGATCTAAAAATGGATCGAAATCAGCCATTGGAAATATATATCGTACGAAGATTCAAGAACTTCTGTGAATTCATTATAAACGTGAACACTAAGCAGCAAAACGAAAACGAAAGTAGGAAACACGTGCACACAACCATACACACCATCTACATAATCAGCAAATGAATGCAATCCTATCCGAGAGCAGCGTAATAAATAGTTTACTCTCATATGAGAAACGAAAATTTAATTATAAAATAAGAATCTCATTTTTTTTAAATGAAACATACGAAATCATTAGTTTCATTATCGTAAATATGAATATTCCACCACGGTTCATGCTCAGGAAACTTTAATAAGTGACGATTCTATTTTCTGATTTGTACATCCATTCACGTTCACGTTGAAAACAATACATTTGTTTTGAATGCTTAGAAAAACAAATGTTACTTCTTCTCAATTTGTTTTATTTTAGTAGTGATTTTATTGCTTTAAAAGGAAAACTATATTTTTAGTTTAGGAGCAAGAATAGTATGCTTTGAGTTTTTCAGCATCTTGATCACTCAAATTCATGCCACGGCCCATCTTCGATTCCCAATCTTTGTCAGTATCTGTAATAACTTTTATCGTTGGGAGACCATTCGACGAGAAAGCATCACTTCGATAGTGCATTATTGATCCTTTGAATAATACATATATGCATCTTTATTTAAAAGCGAAAAACTGCTAGTCTTCGATTATTTACCATAGTCATAGGGCCTGTTCAGCGTGCTAACGCTAGTCGAAGGAAAAATATTGAAATTGTGTTCATTACCTGTGAAATATCCTATTAAAATAAAGTTTCGATGACAGGTCTTTTTATCGAACCTGATTGAATGTTTTCGGTTTGTATGCGTACATATTGATTACGATCGGGACGAGTCTGCTCATGAATGAAGCCAAGAGCATGCATGAGCTCATGTAGTGCTACCTGATGGTAAACACAGCCAGTAGGTTGAAGTGATAGATCTTGAGGACCACTGCTCTTAGCTCTACCCATATACGACCAACATCTATATTTATTTTTTGTTTTATAGACACTGAAGAAAATAAATATATTGATTTTTTTACCCTCTGCTAGGAATAATTCGTAACCAAACTGAAGTACTACTATTGCGCTCCACAAATCTAATGCAATTATTTGTACTTTTCATAATTTCAGACATAGCTCCTCTGATAACACTCTTCTGATCATTCGTATACGATGCATGAATATCAAAAGGTACGATGCCATTTGGCCATTTCGGACTGCGAATGTATACGGCACGACCAGCTTTTAATGGTACTGCAATATCACCTTCTATGAATGTAGCACCGATTGCATAGTTCTCTGATAAACCTTCCAAACCGAACAGATTAAGAGCATCGCCTGAATCTTCCAACGGAATCGCATAGACTTTGCAAGAGAGAAATATTGAGTATAAAAGTAATTTTACGTATTGAAACATCATCTATAAAAACTGTCTTGGATTACGAAGAATGAAATTATATATTTATACGTATTTTTAAGGGTAAATTATTAATTTCGTCAGTGAAGCATAAAAGGAGTGTACCAAAAAGCAAAATCGAATTACGGAAATGATCTGCCACATCAGTAGCAAAATCGGCCGATGCATGCTTGTTTTTTTTTTGTTGCTTCTGAATTTATACAGACGGAGAAAACATTTTGACATTCGCATATTATCATGATTTTTACGATATTTTTATCGAATTTAGCAATTTGTAATCAAGTAGAAATAGATTAATGCTTTCGATTATAAATGCAGAGTTCATTTTCAACTCAGTTTAATAAAAAAAATAGTTAGCACATGTTGATAGTGTATGGATTTAATAACTACGTCATAGGACTGATTTTCGATCTATCCAGTGTATGAGTCAACAACCGTCAGATTAATATGTCGAGCTATCGGAGTAATACACGACAGAAAATATTAGCATATTTACTGTATTTGGTATGCACGATTATCTGCTGATTAATATTTTAATCAACAATAGAACTGACGAAAAGTGTGACACTGCGCATTTGAGACCCATCTGAGGAAGTTGCCGATGATAAAATGGTAAAAAAATTGAATTACATTCAGTTGTTAGAATTTTAATTGAGGGCATTGAATAAATATGCTGTTTTTCGATTAAATGCGAAGAAAACATGAATTAAAACCAAACATCAAATCATTTATAATATATTCGAAGAATAATTCATTAAAATCTATTTCCTCAATAATAACTGAAACTCAAACGTCTGTTCAAGTCTCACAACTCTCTCATAATGAAAACAAAATAGATCAAAAACGTTTTTGAATGATTTATTTTAATAATATAGTGTGATTTTTGCAAAGTCCTTAATACTTCCTATTAGAAATTTATGAAATCGGCTTTCTTTGCATTAGTTCTGTATTCGGTTGTTGCCGCATTTGTTTTTTGGTTATTTTACGGAAGGAAAAAGAATTTCCTAATTGAATGATAGTCCAGAGGAAAATTAGAATATGATAACTACTTTCATTCGAGTAATCAGAAAAAAAAATTGGCCCACTCTTACACTGCTCGTTTTAACTCTAGATCTAATAAACGTGACCAAACTAGAAGATGACTTAGTTTGGAGTAATTTTACCCACAGATATTAGAATAATAAATTATCGTGAAACAGACTCTGTAGGATGAGAAATAAAGTTTCAATTTCAATAATTTAGTATAAATTGATTTTTGCATTGAGAAACTGCGTTAAGTAATCGCAATAATGATGGAGGTCGACATTTCGAAATAAACCGTCATTTTTCGATATCCACCAGTGAAATCAAGGAAAAACCAGTAATAGATTAAAATGTATTCAAGACAATAGTAGAATATAATCAATTTTTTCTATGATTAAATATTTACACAGAATCAAATATGATCAATATTTTCATTTCATAAATGATTAACATCGAGTTGTTGTACTACGATTAGAATATATCTAAACTTTTCAAGAATACCGACTAAAATCCGATTTTTAGCGATCTATTTTACACGATTCATTATCTTCGTAACGTCAAGTTATCCTTTCGTGATTCTTTAATGTAGTGATGTTTATATAATAAAACACACTAAACTAGTTTGATGCACAGTTCTGAAGCATTCTCAGTTGTCTACAATAAATAATCAAACGTATTAAAAAAAAAGTAAAAGAAAAATCATATGTTGAACTTAAAGAATTATCAAATACTATTCAAACATACTGCGAGATTGAAATGATCAATTCATTTTCTTTCATGTGAAGTCGTATTGTAAATTTGGCGTTAAATTCTCTGTAGAAAACAATAAAAGATTTTCAGTCATGATTCATCTTTGCATTTTATAAAATCATTGGAAAATGTATAATAGCGTAAAGATACTAATGTGACTACGAATAATCAAACGATGAATGAATCATCACCACGTCCAACATCTTCTACGATGATGCCGGCTACAAAAACAACATCACTATATCTAACAAAAGCGTTTTTCGAACAAATTCCATGTATTCAATAGCATATACCAGCAATTCATTGAAAGTAAAACTTGTTTATACAAAAGCTACATGTTCCTTCACAGTAGTCAAATTTGCTTAATTTCGATGTTTATTAGTTGAAAGCAAAAAATGTTTGTCATTTATGGACATGAATAGTATTTTTTCAGTTTGGTAATGTCTTGAGCACTCATTTTGTCTCCTCGGCCCATATAAGGTTCCCAATTTTCGTAACCAGCAAGAATAGGTCTAATTGTTGGACGGCCATTCGATGAAAAAGCATCATTCCGATAATGCATTATTGATCCTTTGAAAAAGAAAAAGAAATATTGATTAAGAAGAATTTCAAAATTCTTTATGATTTACCATAATCATAAGGTTCACTAAATGTATTAACTTGGCTTGGAGCAAATTTATCGAAATTATGTGCTTGACCTATACAAAATGGTCATTTAGATCAAGTTTTATTAATGAATTGTATCGAACCATTTTGAATATTTTCATAATAGACGCGTACATATGTATCACGATCTGGCCGAGTTTGCTCGTGAGCAAAGCCGAGCGCATGCAATAATTCGTGTATCGATACTGAAAGAGCAACACAGCTAGGGATTTGAATTGAAAGATCTTGAGCGCCATAGTTTACAATTTTACCCATATGTGACCAACAACTATAAATTTATTTATTTTTCTTTATATCTTCTCAATAATAAATTCCTATAGATAATTTATATTTTGTCTTTCTTACCCTTGACCAGAATGGATTCTTAACCAAACTGGATGACTGGTATCGCGCCAAACAAATCTAATACAATCATTTGTATTGGCACTAATGGTAGTCATAGCACTAATAATAACATTCTTCTGACTGGTTGTAAACGCTGCATCAAATTCAACAGGCACCACACCATTGGGCCATCTTGGAGCGCTAATATATGCAGTACGACCGTTATTTATTGGCATTGCAATATCACCCTCGATCAATTCGATATCAGTTCGATTGTTCGCATGCATACCAGGTAAATTAAACAAATTGGGAATATTATCCTCATCTTTTCTGGGTATTACATTCGCCTGACATGCGAGAAAGAATACGCATAAAACCAGTTTCATATAAGGAAACATTATCGATCATATACTGTCGTATTATGAAAAAACAAGTAGTATATTTATAATCAAGATTTCATTTTACGTTTACGAAAGCAACGTGGGAAACTCGAACACCGGATACAAAATCATATTCTTGAAAATTTTGAATTCGATGTTTTTCTATCAAAAACAAATGTTACAAATTCAATCGTAATCATTTCAACTATTTATTTTCATAACAGAATACAGTTCTTAACAATACACAAGGATTTCAGGCAAAAGTTGAGTTGTAGAGTTTCAATGATGTCCAAGCCTTGTTTCCGTCAGTAATAAAATTAATGCAACACTAGTAACTTGAAAATATTACCTGTTTTTCTCCCATCTGTTTGTCTTTCTCATGGATTCTTATCTAGACGTTTAGCGGAATCAAATATATTCTCAACGACACGAACAAAAACAAAAACCACGTGTAGACTAGTTATTTTTTAGAGTATACTCAATTGCAAACCAATCAGTGATCAGACAATAGAATTTAGATACAGGTGAGATAGATAACAGTGAATATTACTGTGAAATATGTATAGGGGTCACCCAGGAATTATCTCTTGTCCCCACCCTAGTAGACATATTGCCAACGCTTCTATGAATACTTATCAGAACTGAGATAAACTTTGTCTATTATATGCATTGTAAAATCGAAGTATTAAAATACAATGAGAGAAATAAATAGATATCAAGATGTCATCATACTGATTATATGAGAAGCATTTATTCCATATGAAGACAGTATAAAAGACTATTGTAGACTTTCATCAACAACCTACAAATCTAATGCTATCCAAATGAAAATGATACTGGAATAGTTTCTATCTAATTTTTGATTTTGCTCACATCAGATAATCAGTTAACGTTTGATTTCATCGCTGAAAAAAGTCCAGCTTCAATAAATGGATCAAAGAAAAGTGGTAAAGTAATAAACATTATTCCTATAGTCCATATCCATCCAGTAAGTTTTCCTTGGAAAGTATTTGATCTTATTGGCAATTTCATTTTAATTTCCAATAAAACTAAGAGACCGTGTATTGAGAAAAAAATCATGCTTTTACCAGACCATTTACCAGAGACAAACCATACTAGGTATTCATGTAAACAACCAGATAATATATAAGCAAAGAGACTTTTTATAGTTTTACTCATGGGTTTTATTGGGTCGATTAGTTTTGGAATAACAATAAAAGATATAAGTTGTAGTGAGGTTTTTACCAGATTATTCCAACGCTTTGACCAAAATTCTCGAAGACTCGTAGAAACGAAAGGAAATGCAGGAAAAGCAGGATTGATACGAATATTAAATAGAAGCATATAAAAACCAAAACCTATACTAGTTACAGAATCCATAGACAAATATAAAATAGCTCCCAATAATCCATAACGAATGAAATAGGATCTTGGCGACATTAGTGATGGAGATGTCGCAAGCCATTCAGAAGGTATCAGATAAAGGATAGTTTGAAAAATAATAAATTTATAAATGCCTTGTAAAATCATTCCAAAACATTCTCCGCGGACATTTTGTTTCGATATGTCTTTTAATTTTGCTTCTGATTCTGGCATTCGTGGAAGAGCAAGAAAATATAAAACTACTAATTTCAATGGCATTTGTCGTATGTATGTCCATTTGTAAGCGAATGCTAATTCGAGAAATTTGAAACTGGTTGAACTAGCTAATCCGCCCAATGAAAAAGCTACTAAACTACTGCGGATAAATAATGACGAGCTTAATTTCACGTAAACACATACGAACAGTAGAGAGATAGAACTAATGATAGAAACAAAATGTAAAACATGCGGAGTATTAAAATATTGACTAGTTCTAAGAATACAAATGTAGAGAATTACAATAATAAAAAAGGATGAAACGAGAGTGACTAAAGCATTTTCAACCATGCTGACGAATTGATTTAAGAAGCGCAAGTAATTTTTATCGTACTTGTCGCCGTACTGATAAGCGTTTGAAAAGATATAAAAATAAACACGCATAATCTAGCGTGCACCAAAAAAGAGAAGAGAAAGTAAACACGAAAACGAAATCATGATTCTTTTACATACACGGAACAGCACAAAACGAGTATTTATTAAAATCAATTTCGACTCTGTAGCTCATATATTGTAATGGATATATATCAAACACTTCTAAACTTAATTTATCATCGAGTGAAATCGTTTTTCTCTAAATATGTGTTTGACATCGAAAATATTTTGTTTGTGCTGTTCTCTATATTTTCACCCAAAGTAATTGTCAGCAAAACTGGATGAATATGTTGAAACGGAAAAAAAGAATGCCATGGCTTAAGCTATTTGCAGTGGTCCACTATACTAATTAAAAAAAAACTTCTAGATTTATCCATAGGTGCGACATAATATGTAGACGTCACTACCCAAGCAGACAAACATTTTGTCTGCTTGGGTAGTGCGAAGTACATTTGCTAATAAAAGCCGCTCCTGATTCCGTTGGTAGGCACAAGGTTCACTCTAGAAAGTCCGAAAGAGAAAATATCTGATAAAAATGAACTAAAATAGGCTTTAAAATAATATTTAACGATTGAAATTAGATCATAATGACTGCAGCTTGCACATATATTCATCTGATGAAAATTATGAATGTTATCCATGACTTTGTTTATTCAGACACAAAGAGGAAAACCTGCATCTGTATCAGATGCGTATATTTTCAAATCGAACGCCCACGATATCATGAATATATTGTTAGTTAAAATCTTCAATAATTCTCCCTTCGGTTCTATGGCACACATGAAAGAATACCAAATGTATCAATACTTCTACGATAGGCTATAGAACATGTGTCTCGCTCGATTTCATGATTCAGACTTGATCAAATTCAGAAGTTGCAAAGCGCATAATTAATCCGATAGATTTATTGTCGCACAATAGAGGCCTACTTTCGAATAAAAACAACTGAATGCTTTATTTTCACAATCGAAAAGCGCATCACATTATTCATATTTCTTACATGTTATCATACATTAGGCAGAGCACTTATCTATGATCTTGTATAAAAAGCAAAAAGTTGCGAGCATTCACAAACAATATAAATAAATAAATAAATAAACAAATATTTTGCTATCCTTAAGCAATTTTAGGCACAATGTCATCTTTCTGTGATGATGACGTGTCGGACGTTTCTTGAGCACTTATTTCATTTGATACATAATTTTCTTTTACAGAATACCATTTGTGAATGGGAAGTGATTGTAATCGATGCATCATACGCCATGTCAATAGTAGCCAAACAATACCGAACACAGTACAACCGGCGACTTCGATTGAATAGGCATGTTTCTTAGGTAGCTTGCTTGCTATTGCTAAGACGACGCTCGACGATGCAATCTGGCCAATATTACCAAGAGTGCTTACTAATGTCATATATGTACCGCCAATACGTGGCTCACTAATCTGAGCGTAGAAACCAACGCGAGCAACAAGTTGCACGTAGATAATTGTTTCATTGACAACAAATAGAGTCATTAAGATCGGATAGAAGATATATGGGGAATTGACAAGTTGAGAAGTAAAATAAATATAAATTCCAATTAATACACAAATTAATAGCCGAGGTGGATATAATCGAGCAAACCAAATTAACGGTCGACGAGTTTGAGAAAGAATAAGTGGAACAATAACTTTGACGAACACCAATGGCATTGTAACAAGACCAAGAGTTTCGCGTGACATACCATTACTAGAATACAATAAAGAATAGGTGATTTTTAAGAGTTGAAATAATATTATTGCTATTCTGTTCAACAATAGCGCTATTTAAAAGAAAACCTTTTGTATAGCCGTTTTAGAAACATCTACTTACTCAACCAAAGCGATATTAGTCATAAAATAAGTTGCTGCATAGCCAAAAGGTGAAATAATAAGAATAAATGTCAATTCTAACATATATTTCTTTTTGAATAATTTCAACACACATAAATATGTGTCGATGAGTTTCAATTTTTTCTTGTTATCATTTATAATAGGTGTTTTTTCACGAAATAGAAACGCTATAATCAAAGTAACAACAAGAAAGCCAATGCCCCAAAATCGTATAAAGTGAGGTAGTGTAAAGAGTCCATTATCTTGCATTTTAAGAGATAGTGGCGCACGAATGTAGCGATTGGTGAAATTAGCTGATTCAAAAGTAAGAAGAAATGATGATCCAAGAAAACGTCCAAGAGTTTGCCCCATCGTTTGTGAAGTTGATTGCCAAACAACATTTGATGTTTCAAAGAGTGTAAGAGCCCATCCATCTACGCATATGTCTTGACTTGCAGTTAAAAATATAATAAAGAAAACGAAGATTGTCAACGGAGCAACATGCAAATAATTAACAAATGAATTAATATAGAACGATAAAACAATTAAACCGATCCCAAGTAAGATTTGTATAGGTAATAACCACGTTTGACGTCTACCGAAGCGTTGAATATAAAAAACATCGATTATCGGTGCCCAAATTATTTTGCAACTAAATGGATAATGAACGAAATTGTAGATACTTTGTTCGCGCCATTTAGCACCTGCCGTAGTTAGAAAGATAGGAATGGATGTTGACAACCCAAGAACGACACCTTGTAAAATATACAGAACAAGTGTGACGAGAATACTGATAATCGGAGCTCTGATGAACATCTAGAAAAAGTGATTTAAACTTGAACATTTGCAATAAAAAACGTCAAAATGGATAATCGTTCAAAAACGTCAATATGATTACTAACCTTTGATACAGCGAAATAATTATTCGTGCACCAATACATGCATAGTCTGATAAACTTTAAACGATAGAAACACAGACAAATTCGTAGCTAAATAAAATGATGCTGTACTACTATTTCTACAACTCAACAATGATATTTATTCTTGACGAAGTGTTTTTTCTAATGTTATTTATATAGTTCTACCAAATAATTTGTTTAATTCATGATTGACATGACTAATTGACTGAAACAAATCGAACATGATGAAATGATTCAACACGTTAAAACATTTAGGATAGAAAAATTTTCCGCTCGTGAAATAAGTTCGGATAACAGTATGCTCTTATGTTGTTGTTTTTTTCTATCGAAGTCTTTAAAAAAAATTACCTATTTAGCAAATTATGTGCGATGAATAGATCAAATAGTAAAGTCAAGTGCAACGAATAAGATAGAATAAAAGTGCAGGCATTTATTCGATTAAAAAATGCCTAAAAAAAACAAATGAAAGTTTTCTGCCGTCATTTTGTTTTTTCATTCTGTGATATTCAAGCTAACTTGGTCATTTTGATATTTTCGTGCTGGAAGTCATTGAATGTAAGTAGGAAAATGTAATCGAACAGCAATAATGGTATATAAATTGCACTGGTAAGCTTTTTGCTTCGTGTTAATAAATATGAAAGTGATCATACTATCTCTTTCGTCCAGACAACATTCATTTTTATTGGTTGACTAAAGGTGATTAGAAATTCATAGATCGGCCTTTGCTTGTCAACCAAAAATATTAATCTTTTTAGTTTGTACGTATATTTAAGATAAGAAGTGACATTTTAGAACTACTTTTATTTGTTGTTGATTATAAAAATCATCCAAACACAAATCTACCAGTGATCTCCATTAAAGTTCGAGCGAACCTACTAATCCAATTATTACGCAACAGAGTATTCCAAAACTAAATGTTAATCACTATTGATTTACCACTTATTGGTTCTTTGCGCGATGCTATGCATGTAGAGTTATCTATTTTTTCGTTGATGAGACTAGCAAGCAGATCAAGTTACAACGATATTAAAAGATAAAGATTTGATAAATAATTAATCATGAAACTGTTTCAGAAATTTTATTGACAGTATATTAGAATGAAAAAGTCTTCGGCCGTTTTTAAAGTCCCGAAAAATATTATATTTTATTTCTACTGATATTTAAAAAAACGAGACTTTACCACAACAATTTTGAATATTATTAGAAAGAAATTTTATACTATGTTAATATTCAATAGTTAGGCGTTGGTTATTCTTTGAAATTAGACAGTGAACTTTTCATAAGTTGAAGCGCTAAAGAATACTACAAGATTTGTCCCGATAAACATATTGAATGATACAATGAGTAGTCATTTCACAATGATAAGTTTGAGAATGAAAGTCTTGTCGAAGAATTTAGAAGAATGTTGGAATTTGGAATTTCTCAAAAAGATTTTATGCTTTCTTTTATGCCTGAGTAATATAATAAATACATGTGTGTTTCGCAATTATCTGGTAGAACAGTCATAATATTATAATTGATTAAGAAGCATTTACCGGTTAAACAAGAATTTTACACAGAAAACGTGTATTGAAAATTTAAAAAAAAGCTACTATTAATAAAGAGAAGGTTAACATACGTTGAATTGTCACAAGCAGAGAGAATGAGAACAATTAGAGGATATTATAATCTATATAAAACCCGGCAAAAGCATCAAGACTGCTCTGAAATTACTCACCACCAAGAGCAGAGTTGAACACGTGCTCGAAGCAGTTGAGTTACATAAGCGTATGAAAAAATATGAAGGTTTTATGCCCCCCTCCCCTAGGTATATCCGTGCGAGTATGTCAATAATAGATAAGGGGGTTGTAGTAACAAATACAATCATAGGTTCTATTGGCTTGTGGCATTGATATACAGAGAAAGTATCGTGATCAAGGTTCCAAAATGTAATCTGTACAAACTATAATTCATGATTGAACATTTGGATTTATAATAATTAATATCAAGATTTTGATCGGTTCCATAGAGTATGCGGTTTCTAATACTTGACTAGAAAAATAACATAAGCAAGGATTATACTACTACCAATGAAACAAGGCTTGTAAGAATTAGATAAATTCGTTAATATCATGTAGACTAGATATTTTTAAATATATCCATGGTAATGTTCTTTAAAACTGATGGAAATCTATTCGCATAAGATCCTAATGTTTAATTCAACAGATTTCGCTAGAATACGAATTCGTATCATATTTCTAGGCTCGTCCTATTACGAAACATCCTGATCTTTTGTGTGTTCGATTTTTCTAACATAGATTTTTATGTAAAACGAGTCTCGACGAGAATATATTTTCTCATGAAAATCAAAAGAGAATCCATCGCACATATTTTTTATACGAATACGTCATAAAAAGATTTAGACAAAGTTCTTACTACAAAATCTAGGTGATTGATTCAGAATTCACTATTTTATTCTAACAAGAGTTTTCTAGGGTAGGAAGGACTGGGAAGATTGTTGATCTTATCATACAATTATCATGTTTTTTTTTCTGTCCTTACAACAGAACACAAGTAAACTAAGTCAATAATGATCAAACCAGAAAAAAACAACATTTTTTTTTTAGTAAACTCAACTATATCTCTTTCGTTTAGTGACTAAGTAATAAACACTTATTCTCTCATGACTCATATATTTACCTAACACATGATGACTATCCAACTTGTTAGGTTAGATAGTATATAAAAAATTGATACTTTGAGAATAAGTGATATAAAAATGAAGTGTGAATTATGCAATAATGATACTTGGCCAACAGATTCCAGTTCTACAATGTGCACCACTTGTAAACAACTGCACCGTTGCGATTTATTTTCCAAAATATTGACTACTTTACTAGACATGTATTCTGCTAACCGAGGATTCGACGTTGTGAAAGACAAATGTATACAGTTCAATAGAATCATTAAAAACTACCCATTATTTATATCAACTTTTCCCGCGTTCGATCCCGATGAACATGATACAGATCGTGTGGCTCTTCATTATCTTCGAAACTACGTTATATCTGAAGACAATAATACTCTTCAAAAGCATCATCCGATTAAGATCGATACAGCAAATAATAGTTGTATTTACAAAACAATCGCTATTCTATGTCGATCAGAAGTTGAAGATGGTGCGAAAGAATTAAGAGTGCGAAATGTAATCGATATGGTGCTCAATGCAGAAGTGTATCATTCAACTGATCCCGAATTACATTCTTGTTTACAATGGGGCGAAACATGGAAATATTTTGTATTGGAACAACTTCGTGATAAACCATTGGTTAGCATTGTTTCTCTTTTTTTGAATCCTTCAATTGTTTAATTAATATTTCTCATCGTTCTTTAGATGAATGGACCGAATGCGGCTTTAACGTTATGTTTACAGAGTCTATCCAATATAATTAATATGAGAATTAGATCGGTCTACCCGAAAGTCCCTGGTGGCAGTGATGATCTTCGAAAAAGACTGAATAGGATATTTTCTCCATCCGATATTCAATCAAATGAAACGACAGTATCATCTATCACTATATTATGGTCGAATATGAAACACATATCATCACATTCGACAAGTTTAATGTGGATGCCAGATTGTGTTGTACCACTCCTACCAAAGCCAGACGTATGTACACAAGTCATTTTGTTGAAACAAAATTCTACGCATAGTTTTATCTAGTGTTATATAAACGATAAAATTGTTTCTCCACAAGCAAATTCACCTACTCTACAAAACCCTACAGGTTTGATTAGCTTTAATTATGTAATAAACCTATTCTGTTTTTGTTTCCGGCAACTTGTATTTCTTAATTTAGAACGTAGTTTTTATATTCTTTCGTGTTTCTGCCCTATAACTCAAGGTGTACTGAATGAACTTGTGTCGGACTCTGATCAACAGAAGCATTCAGAAGCCGAAATGAAACAAGAAGATACAAAATTACCTGAATTTCTTTGTCCTAAATGTTCAAAACCATGTAATGATTACCGATTTGATTGGAGAGCAGTTACCTTATTTCGTCAGAACTTTACTGGCGCACGTTTAACTTATATTCTCATAGATGTAACATCGTCTATGACAGTGAATCTTCTCAATAGCCTATTAAACTGGAATAATTCTTTATTACCACGAATAACTCGAACAAAAGAAGCAGTGAAACAATTATTAAAAGAAATAGCAGCAGCAGCAAGTCCATTAGATCAAGCTATTTTAACAACGTTTGATGATAAACTTAAAAATCCAGCTTTAATTCCTCTATGTAAAGCTTCGGAGATTGCTATAGAATCAAATTTGAAGTGTATTGATGCCATTGAATTAAGCCCTCGATCAACACAAACCTATTTTTATTCAGTCCTAAAAGGAATCTATGAAATGTTGGAACGACAACCATTTTTATATATCGATCTTTATTTATTTTCTGATGGAATTGATACAAGTCCGAAAAAGAATGATAAAGCCTATCAAGCAATTATTCGTGGTTTAAACGAAAAAATTGGTGCTAAATGTCATTTTATGAATTGTGGTTCAGCATTGGACGGATTTTCAGTAGCAGCTTGGTTAGGCGATGCCGAGGCCGATTTTTCGATGTCAGTTTGTATCGAACAAATTAAAACACAGGTCAAAGCTGCTTATAAAAAAGATCATGCAAGAACTATAGATTTAACAACGACAACAACTCGTTTTCGAGGTAGAACGCTTGATGTTCCATCACCAACGTTAACTAATTTTATGACAGATGCCGAAGCTGCTTCTCTTCGTGTACCAATTCGAAAAAAGAAAAATGAAGATGAAAATCTGTCAATGACTACAGTTTTTCGTCGTTCGGATCCAAATCTAAAAGGCATTACTGATTATTTATCAGTACTTCCGTCGGCAAATCGTTTTCGCTCTTCTAGCGCCACGAATATCTCATCGCAAGTTACGAGTGAATACAGGATTGCTACACGTAACTTACAAGCTCGAAAATTGCATTAGGATCAAACAGTTCAACATATATGAATGTTAACGTGTTCGTTTTCAAAATAAATATAATAAATTTGAATACTGTAGTTATCAAGAGTTTACTTGAAATCCCTGTTGGCTTCCTGCACTGAAATGTCTTTGATGCATTCATTTTTGGCATGTCTCAAGTCTAAATAACAATTCGTTTGTTTTAGCATCTTAAAACAGCGTTGATTTATTTGTAAAATATTAATTTTTGGATCATTTCTAGCTAATTTATTTTTATTAATTACTTCAAAATGATTGCAATCAAAAGTGAACTCGAACATTTGAGTATGATGATCTATCTCACCTAGTGTAAGAAACCATATTCTTATGAATAATATGAATGAATTTCATTTGCACACTGAAGCAATTTCTACAAACTTTGACGCATTTAAAATATTGCCGATGTTTGTGACGTAACTATTTCAATGATATTTCATCCGTATATTATTTCGCTAGAAATGTCTGCGTGAGCGTGAGTGATAGAGACATAGAAAGAAAAAAATAGACTGTTAAAACACACGCAGACCCACAACGAGCGAGTAGCATCAACAAGGAAATAACAGTTTTCACTTTGCACAATAGCGATAACTAAAAAAAAAGGATAACCATCCAGATTTGAAAGAATAGAATAAATACACACATGAAAAAAGAATAGAATGTCTCGTTTTCGTTTTTGTTTTCTTCTTAGAGCAACACACACAAGTAATAGTAATAAGAATAAGAATGATTAATCATCATTCAAATATGAGTAAAAAACCCCATTGGAAAAACGATATACGACAAATATAAATAACAGTTATATTGAACAAAAAAATTAAACGGAGAAAGAAGAAGGTAGACCGATGAGTTTAGTATGAGCTTATAAAAAGGAAACACAACGCTTCTAGTCACAATGTCATACTTCCTGCGTTGGTGGTGATGTGATAGATGTTTTAGTCTTTTTCTTAGTACTTTTCTTTGGTTTTTTGGGTTTTACTGCTGTTTGGTCCTCGTCTCCTAAATACGAAAAATTTAAAATAACATTCGAATATAGATTATGTCAGAAAATAGTTTTACCATTAGGCACAGGCGATACAGCTGATCCATTTAGTTGTGCATCGTAACTAGTCGAATTAGGTGTTATATTAGCTGAGTCAACAATTTCAAAACTATTTGCATCACTACCACCTGCACTACCATTCGTGATTAAATGTGAAATAGGTGATAGCATTCCGTGTGGTCCGCCAACTGACATTGGAAATCGTGGACCCATCATGAATGGATTAGGTGGACCCATAAATGGGGGTGGAAAAAATGGAACACGTGGTGGGCCGAACATAGGCGGTCCTAAATAATAACAAACAATGATTGTAGATGAAAATAAGCAAAAAATATTGATTCTCACGAATTCTAAGCATTTCAGCTGGACTAGCAGCCCCCGACTCATTACGTTCATGATCAATCGGTCTAAAGCTTTAAAAAAAAAGAAAAGAAAAGGAAATTTAAAAATTATATATTATTCTTATACTTGTCCCCTTGTTGATAAGGATGTGGTAGAGGTGGAGAACTACTATTTATTTCTTGTTCATTGGATAATCGACCTGAATTCAATAGAAAATAGGATTATTTCAATTTCACCAGTGAATAACATACTAGTATTATTCATATGTTGTGGTATAGGCCTATGCATTGTCTTCTCGAGAGATGACCGTTCACTGTGTGCATATTTAGTTATTCTATTTAAAAGAAATCGATGATTTAAAACTAAATAATCATACAATGAAACATACTGTTTTCTTAGACTTTCACATTCTTTTCTAGCTCCATCAAGTTCTCGTGTCAATCGTTTCACTTCCATCCATTTTTCATGTATTTCATGTTGTAGTTTGCCAGAGTCTTCACTGAATTTACTTTGTTCGATAGTAAGAACTTTTTGTACATCTTCTAGTTGTTTTCTAAAATTAAAAAAAAAACGTTATTTACTCGTTATTTTTATTTCTTCGAAAGAACAATTTACTGTTTCAGATCTAATTGTTGTTGCAAAATTCGAACACGTTCTGTATCTGTTCTTGCTTTACGTAATTCAGCGTCGGTTTGTCCCAATTGACGTATATGTAAATGAGCATCTCGTTCTCGTAATTCTAAAACAACTTTTAATTTTGTTTCAAGTTCTCTACAATGATCTTTCTCTTGATTGAGTAATGCATCAAGTTCTTTAATACGACGAGTTTTCTCATCGATTTCTATATGTAAATTTCTCATATGTTGATTTGCTTTTTCAATATCATGATTTACATTTGATAAAAGTTCCTGTTGGTCATTTTCATTTGTATTTTCTGTAACTGTTGAAAGTAAATTAGTTAGCTCTAAAAAAAAGTACAGAAGAGAAACTTAGAGTTTAGAAAGCTCAAATAAATATGAATGTGACCTGTCGCTTTTTCTTCATCATCGTCATCATCATTATTAAGCATTTTTTCTCGAATCTGAGCTATAGTTTCATCGCGTTGTTCAAGTAAATCTTTAAGTTGTTTCATTTTAATCGCCAATTCATTATTATCAATATCTAATTGATTAGCTTGTTGCTGTGCTTCCTCTAATTGATCTTGTTGAGCAAATTTTTCTTGTTTCAATTGACTAATTTCAGATTTAAGTTCATTTATTATTTCTTGTAATTTTTCAAAACGTTCTAACGATAGATCAGTAGATTGTAGTCGAGCTAGAGTTTCACGTTCTTTTTCTAATTCTTGCTTGTGACGTAGAAGCTAAAAAACAATTTAATATTTCATTTTCTGCTCAAAACTTTAATTTTTATCACAAAAAAATATTTTTTCTCATCGATTCTTTTTAACAATGAATATTTAAAACGAGACTCAACGATAGAAATTATCATAATCTAAAATCATGAAGATATGCGGCTGATTGTTACACATCACTTAGTATATCAGTCATTGATCTTGACAATAAAACGATGACGAAAACTTTTTATCATGAAAACCAATGAAATGTAACATAAACATATCGTTTACAACGAATCAGTTGATGTAAACATAGATGATTCATAATGAACAGTTACGATTATGTAGTCAATTATTCATTAATACTTTTTGACTAAGAGTAATCTCCTGTTTTAGAAACGTTCGTTTATTCAATGTTAGCAATTAGCTCTTCCTTGTGTATGAGTAGCGATAAAAATCTACTTGTATTCCGTAAGTCTTATCTGTTCTCCTTGACTTTCAATGCTATATACACATTTACACCAATAAATCGATTCATCAAATAGAACGTAAAACAAAAATTTGAATAAGTCAAGTGGAAACAGCTTGCTTTTATTTCCTTTTTTTTCTTCCTATTGCATTTAATTAATGCAGAATATTTCTGTTTGAGAACTGAAAAGATAATAAATTCTTACTTCATCATTCAAAAGTGTGATTGTTTCTATTTGCTGTTGAGTATCAAATTCATATTTTTGTATTAGACTATCTTTGTAATCAATATCATTCTGTAAGCCATCAGCTTCACTTCGTGCAATTTTCCATTCGGCATGAAGACGTTCATATTTTTCACGAAGTTCAAACAGTTCTTCATCTGTATCCGATACAGGTATTTTTTTCAATTCATCAATTTGATCAGATAATCTAAAAATTAAAAATCAACATCCAAAAAGATAATTTGATTTTCGCGTGTTTTTTACTCTTGATTTTGTTTTTCAAATGTAGCACGTTCAAGTTCAATTTGATTATTATATTGTTGTAGTTGTTGACAGCGAGCACGAAATGTTTTTTCTTCTTTGCTTTGTTTTAACCGTCTCGTACCCATTGAAAGAAAAAGTAAACTAAATAACAAACACATCGTACATAATGAACCAAACCATATTGTATTCATGATTTTTTCACGATCATTAATACGTCCGAATAATATCGTTTGAATGAATTCAGGTAACTAAAACCACGAATAAGATTAAAAGCAAATTCAAAACGAAAAAACACTTACAAAGTCAATAAGACGCAATAGTTTATTTTCTATTAATTCCATACTGGATTCAAACGATCTAGGTAAATGCCAACAAACTTGACGGTATTTCATTGGTAAGATTTTTTCACTATTATTTGATATTGAATTTGTCTTTAGTGAATTATTTGTCTCGTCAACCTATGAAAAATAAAAATTATTTTCAATATTAATTTCAAAGATTTTCGAAAACGAAAATAATGATGTAAGATACAACATGCTTAGTCTATTTTCTCTACTTTAAAAAAGGATAACATGCTGAGCAGAGATTTAATGAAGGATTGGTCGCGCACAGAACGAAAGAAAAGTATATCTAGATATAACTTGTGTTTTGTTAAAGATAAGCCACGTGTAGACGCTACGTAGACCTCTTTTTGGAACTTATTATTCTATCGGTTTTGTTTAATCCAATAGAATTAACTTCCAGTTTTTATTCGCATTTATCCAGATATTGTTTGACATCTATTGAAAATATCTTCTATGTATTCATAGACTGAAAAATTCAACTATAAATTTGTATTCAAGAAAAACTAAAGAATTTTTTACAAAAATATAAATATTTGGGCGATTATTTATCTATGTCAAATTGCATCAATCATTTTTTTTTCTTTTAGATCAAATTTTTCATACGAATAATGATGAAAATTTAATTTATTCATAAAGAAGCGAATGAAATTTAAAACTACGGCTTACTTTTGGATCACTATGAATGAGAGGTTCATTCTGTTCATTTTCGTTATTTATAGTTTCAATAGTACTTCTTAGGGTTTCCATATTTGACTCGGTAGTTGATTCTTTTTCTTCATCTTTAATAATACGTGGTAGATGTGGACTGTGATCACTAGCGAAAACCGAAGTAACAGTTGTTTGGCTGTCCTTGCCGTGATCAACAGATAGTTTTTCATTTTCATGTGATTCTTTACTAAGCTTATTGAGTATTTCTTGTGGATCATGTACATGTACTTGACGCGGAAGATCATCCATATCATTGACTTCCTCAATTTCTTTGTCACTTTCTACTGGAATATCATTGTCGATGTTAACATCTGTTGCTGGTTCAACAATAGTTTCAATATCAGGCTCTTGTGGTTTTAATGACAATGATTCCGTTGAATCATCATCTTTTTCAACAATAGGTTGCGTTGTTGATTCAATCATGGAAATTATTGTTGAGGATTCTGTTAATACAACCTTTGCCGGAACTATCGATTCTACATTGGGACTGACTGTTGACGATAGGATCGGTTCACTAGCAGATATAGCTTTAGCTGGAACAGCAGATTCTACATTGGGATTGGCTGTTGACGATATTGTTGGTTCAATAGTAGATATAACTTTAGCTGGAACTGCGGATTCTACATTGGGATTGACTGTTGACGATATTGTTGGTTCAATGATAGGCATAACGTTTGGTGGCGATTTCAGTTCGACAGTGGGCCCTTCTGAAAAATAAAAATTAATGAATTGAAAGAGTGCACATTAATCTTACGTGTTTGTGAGTTTTGTTTTGATTCTTGTTGTCTTTTTTGTTGCTCTTGATGCTGGTGACCTTGACGAAAACGTGCTTGAGCTGCTTGCGCTGCCTGAGCCATGCGTGCTGTTGCCGAACGTAAAATTCTCGCTGTTGTTGTAGTTGCTGGCGGCGGCGTTGTTGTCTGAACAATTTCTGGAGACTTATTTTCATCAGATAAACTTTTATCTAATTTTATACTAGTTGGCGTTGTCTGCGTAGTGCTAATAACTTCTGGTTGTTTTTCTAACTGTATTGGCGATGTAGATGGATCCGTTGAATCAATGCTTCGTGTTTTTTCTAAAACTTTTTCTGTTAGATCTAACGGACTGATATCTTTTTTAGTTTCTGCACTCCGTTGCTGTTCATTTGATAAGCCTAATTTTTCTACCGATTCAGTTACATGTTGCTTTTGATCTACTTTTATTGTTGTTGCAAAAGATGGGTCTTGATCTAATGGTTTTGAATTTTGTACTTTATCAGACGCTAGCTTCTGTTGATCTACTGTAATATCGAGTGACTCAACATTTTTTGTTGCATCCAAAACTGGTTGTTGTTGTTGTTGTCGTGAATTAAGATCTATTGAAGGATTATTTGGTATTGCTTCGGGTGTTGATTGCTGTTGATGTGTTGTAGGGTCATGTGAAGCAACTTTTTGTATTTTTTCAGTTGGTTGGTGTTTTGCAGTGGAGTCTAGTGGAGAATCGTTCGATACTGGTTCTGTTCTAGTTGATGCAACGTCAGGCGAAGCAATAGCTTGTATTTTATCCGTTGCTTGCTGTTGTTTTGTAGTTGAACTCGAGGGCGGATCGTTCTGGACTGGCTCGGTTCTAGTTGGTACAGCGTCAGGTGAACCAATAGCTTGTACTTTATCCGTTGCTTGTTTTATAGTTGAACTCGAGGGCGGATCGTTATGTACTGGTTCTGTTCTAGTTGGTTCAACATCAGGCGAACCAAAATATTGTATTTTATCGGATGCTTCTTGTTGTTTTGAAGTAGATTTNTTGTAGTTGAGCTCGATGGGGGATCATTTTGAACTGGTTCTGCTCTAGTTGGTGCAGCGTCAAGCGAAGCAATAGCTTGTATTTTATCCGTTGCTTGTTGTTGTTTTGTAGTTGAACTCGATGGGGGATCATTTTGTACTGGTTCTGTTCTAGTTGGTTCAAGATCGGGCGAACCAACATTGTGTTTTGTATCGGATGGTTCTTGTTGTTGTCGATCTGCTTTATTCGTGGACGAATCGACACTTTTTATTGTATCAGATGGTTTTTCTTTTAAATTAAGGTCCAATGAACGGTCATTTGGTATTGCTTCCGGTACTGGTTTAATATCGAGTGTATCGACATTTTTGATTGTATCAGACTTCAGTTGTTGTGATTGATCTGATTTTAATGGTGTTGCAGTAGAAGTATTAGCATCTAGCAATTCATTATCTTGTAATTTATAGTTGGTAATTATATTGGGAGGCTGTTGTTGGTTAGAAGAAGGTGGAATATGATTATTTGCAGGTTTCACTGCTTGAACTGTCTCTGTTGGCTGGTGAAGTGGTGCTAATGGTATAGTTTCGCTAGAATCAGATAAAACATTTTCTTTCGTCACTTTTTCTTGGACGATATCTGCTGGTTTCTGTTCATTGGATGGTACTTGTACTCGAGATATAATTTTATCAGAAGTTTGTTTCAAATTCAATTCAGCATCTGAAGTTTTGGTGTGTATCAATGTATCACTTGTTGGAGATGCTTCTGTCAATGATAGTCCATCACTAGTTTGTTCTTGTCGTTGATTTGATGTTTGTATAGGTGTAGGAGAAGATCTAGTTTCGTTTATAGTGCGTAATGGTACTTGAACATCTTCTTTTAGTAAATTCTGCGATGGTGTCTTATTAATAGTATCTATAGCATGAGGAGATTCATATTGATGTTGCGATTCACTTAAATAGTCTTTTTCCAATGCTGAATTCAACTTATTGATATCTTTGATGAAAACAAAAAGGAATTTCTTATATCAAAATACAAAGGAAAATTTCTTACATTCTTCTTCATTTTCAGAAGCATCATCCTCATTATCTTGATGAACTGATTGGCGTAGATTATGTTTAGCTAAAAGGCGAGCGTCTATGGTATCTTGCAAACTTTCGTCATCATTCAGTTGTTGAAAGTTATTGTTTTGAATAGTCGAAGTTTCTATAATCGCATAAGATTTGCATCGAAAAAAAAAGAAACATGAATTAACACACTACAGACCTATATATTTACTAAGAGGTTCAACATTAATAGCTGATTGAGAATATTTTGTTGTTACAGGATCTATTTGACTATGGTGTTCATGACCACGAGTATTATAAATAAGAAACGAGAAAAAAATGAATAGACATGATTGTATCAATGTATCGCATAGCATCATCTGCAACAATAAAAAAGAATTGATGACTTATTTATCGGTGATTTTATAGTCACAGTTATTAAGAGAAAAATCACCCATAAGAAAAAATAACAAAGAAGTAGCAAAAACATTTTGAGTATGAGTACATAATTTCATCGAATAAAAAAGCAAATAAGAAGCAATATGTATATTAGAACGAAAGAAAAGCTACCATCTTCCAACGACGACACGACAATACATCCATTCAAAATAGTATTGTTAGGCATCCAATAGAAAGCAAGCGCTACTTGTAAAGGAACAGAGTGAGATCAATGCATGCGATAATGTGAGTCGAACACGTCAAAGCAGAATATGCGATTTTTGGTTGGTGAGTCTCAATGAAGGTTAAGAAACAATCAAAAGCGAATCCATACTTTACCATGTTTCAATCATTTTCTTCTCGTTTTCGTGTTTGATTGATAACTAAAGCAAATGAAATAAAAGAGAAGAGAAGTAACGTGTCAATTTTTCAAATGATTACCACAATAATCTTTCAGTACAAATATTTTAGCTTCTGTATCGAACATATTTTCTATTATACTTTTATCAGCTTTAACCTTGTTTAGCGTCAGTGTAATGATTTATTACTTAATGATTGCTTATTAATGACATTTCTAGTTGTGCACAATTACTCAAGCTATGAAACCATAAAATACTATTTTAAGGAAAAGCAATGTTGTTTTTGAAAACAAATTAAGAATGAAAAGATGTATATCGAAAAAATCAACTCTTTTCATTTCTCTTCAATTTTTGATTTTTAAGGGGATTATGAACATTATTAGCAATTAAAATACTGATGGATTGAAAAAAAAATTTATTCTGAATAGTGCTTCACATGGTTAAAAAATTTTCATATTTATAATTGACACTATTGGTCTTATTTCATTTCTTTGTGTCGGGTAATAGAGTCTGTATACGGTGAACTTTTGCAACGTAACGTACACTTAACTTATCTGATCATCACTTATTTGCTATATAGATATACGTTGTTACGTCATATTTTAGAAGTGTCCTACATTTATAATAAGCTATAGTATAATCGATAGCGGTGGCTCACTTCTATCTGCAACTGTCGATCCTGTCATAATTTGCAGTATTTTGGAATGATCTTGCTTCTAAAACATGATTTTCTATTTTATATGTTGCAACAGTTTTTCTTTGTTCAATTCTTAGTGCATGTTTATGAGCTGTTTTACACATCAATAGGTTGCTTTTTTCAATGCAATTAACTACAGCGTTTAAATATATATTCGATTCACTTCTTTTGTGTCATGAATAAAGTGGGTATCACTGTTGAAGATAAATAGTTCTATATATTTCTTTTCTTTAACAAATACTATCGATATATTCATACTCTTACTTACTAGATACCTAAATGGGAAGAATTTTTCGTTTGTAATGTCCCATCATCCCGATTTTGTATTTCGCCGTGTCGAAATTGTATGCTTGTGTCCTTTGACAGTTTCATATATATATATTTAACCGTATATTTAAAAAAATTGCCACGATATTACTGTATAAAACAAGTGCAGGTCATAAATCAGTTTTGTACTTCATTGTTCTCTGTCGTGTGAGAAAATATAAAAGTGAAAATTGGTCACTACGAATGATTAGTAGATTTAAATATTAGTGGCGTGGTTCATAATAACAGGGCGATTCTATCTTTATCAAATATCTTCACTTGTGTGACACAAGTTGCGCCATCAAGAACGCAGTTAAAATAATACTAGTTGTATCCATGAAATTGCATGCAGAACAAGAGCCGAATAATTGAACTGATGTTCTCTCATGAAGTTTTCAATCATGTACACATTGTGTACAAGTTTCTAAATAAATTGCATCATTGATAGAGAGAACGAACTCTTCCGAGAGTAGTTAATGTACTTTTTTTAAATTTTACTTCAGGTAGACATTATCATGTTCGAAAAAATCTCTGGCGCATCGTTGTCAACTTTTAAATTTGATAACTTAATAGTCTAATAATCTAGGAATTTTTATATAATACGAAATCGAAGTTCCAAAAATATGTTTCATTCAGAGAATAAATAGTCCTTTTAACTTAGATTTAAATCTATATCGATTCTTATAGAACACGATCGGGCATCATTTTTCGTAGTAATCTATAATTCAATCGGTACCCCTACTTTTCTCTTACATAGTTCATCAACTTAATCGTCTCAAATAACAGTTTTATTTGTGAGTCATTTTCTTCTTTTTCATTCATTACAAAACTCTTGAGTAATATTGCTATGAACAATATTATCTGGCTAGCATAAAAGTATTAATTAAAATCACATATACTCTCAAAAATGTATATTTTCGGCACACATTGGTTTAGTTTCAATAAAATTATTAAGTGGCTTGGGACAAAAGTCGTAGGGAAAAGGTCGCAATATCGGCGTTGCCCATCGCCTTTATGCCTCATTAGAAGCACATAGTCATGTGCGACTAAATTAGCATCAATAATGCATATATATATATATTAATTTATTTGATGTTGACATTTGATGAGAAATACATCAGATGCGGTTTGAAATCGCTAACATTTTTCTAAGAAATCTATTTGTTTTCAAGGTCAATCAACACTAAAATTGTTATTCGATTAAATAGTTTTTTATGCAACCAGTTTTTAACTGATTGAAAATGTATTACAAGAAAAGTTCACAGAATTTTATTTTAAGTCGAATTGATGTCGGTTCAGACGTTATTTCATCAATTCATCCTCTAAGGGGTTTTAATTTATTATTGAGATAGAAAATTTTATTATAAATTTTTATGAAATAGTTAAGCAATTCATTTTCATCACATGCTATCGTTAAAGACCCAACCAATAGGACGAAGCTCGCCGGTGCAAAAAAAATGAAGCAAGATACTTTTGAAGTATAGTGGAAAATGGTACAGAAGTTACGCTCCACGAAAATAAAATAAAAAGTGCTGCTATTTTTATTTTACAAGTGTTCATACACTCATATTCAAATTGTGATGAAAACCATCTCATTTGAATAAGAATCTAGAAAAATAATTTTTCATTAATACAAAATAAAATCCATATCTTCTCAAGTTTATGAAAGCATAGGAAACTATGTATAATAATAAAAAGAATCTGTTAAGGCTTATCAGGTTAAATTAAAACAAATAACGCGACGTAAGTGTCGCTAATCCCCTACTGAAATGGGTGATCATGTTTGATAAATAATAAACAATCATACAAGTTTTGGCGTAAGAATTCAACAATGCTATTTTCCATGTCTTGCTGTAGTGATAAGTGTATCCAACGTATTAGCTATTGTGTATAGCTGGATATGGATTGTTGGATGACCTTTTATTTAGATTCAGTTACTAAAAATCTCATTGACAGTTGGTGGGTGTGGGTGAGGTGGTCACCGTGTTCTCAAAACAGGCAACGTTGCTAAAATAATTAGAAAGTCTTCTTCGTAAGTTCTAAACTACTTTTCGTTTATTATTCATGCCTAATTTATTTGTCTGAATCACTATTTTCCTTTAATATGAACATGATAATGCAATTAGTGACAGTTTCAGCTTTACACTACAAAGTTCGGGCTGCTTTTAAAGAAAAAGCTTTTGTTCTTCTATTACAAAATTTGCGACCAATTTTCGTAGACCCTTCTATTATGAATCATGGCTGTGCCTATAAACGTGTGTTTTTCATGTAAACGAGACGATAGTATGTTTTGAGAAGGAGCAAAATAAAGTATAATACCATTACAACAACGGAACAATTAATGATTTTGTTTTATATCTTTGCAAACTATCGATATAGTCTTATCCCTAAATAGTGATGAAGTCTTAGTTTACTCGAAGCCTCTCTATGAAATACTACTGTCCATTTAATTTACTCTGAGAGTAGGTAATCTAAGTTGATCACTGCTTTAATCCGATCCATTCAGGAAAAACTCGAATCATGACCTAAAACATTCTACGTTCGTTCTATTTTCTTCTTTCATTCTTGATTCCTGAAAGTATTTTTCTAAGCTGAAATCTTCAGTACATTCAGCGGCGAGCGTGAGAGTATCTCTATACTTTTTTTTCTGTATGAAAGCATTTTATTTTCTTGCTTTTCTTGCTTATTATTGAAGTAAGTAACTAGTTGTATAGAATTATGATGAAGGATTTCCTATAATCAAGCGATACCAATAGAGAAATATCTATTAACTATTTTTAAACTTTCTGTCATAATCAACAAATAACAGAGACTCCACTTTAATCGGTAAATATACACTACTACTCATCTGAGTCAACAAGTAGAGACTGCCTTTCTTTCAATCTTCATGGAACTCAGGATCTTAACTCAGCTGATAGAATGATACGCTGTAATGATTTATTGATGGTAGTGAAAAATTTTCTTGCTTTCCGATTCCAATATAAGGGCTAATAGAATAGAAGATACTTTTTCATCAGTTTGTTTTTATCTAGAATCTACAGTTAATCGATTCGATCTTCATAAGCTTCAGATTTTTTTTGGGCAATATTTTAATAACTAAATGAAGTAAATTCATGGCAAATGATGATGGTAGAGCGTATAAGATTCATCTTACTTTCGTAGTGACGAAATTACTTATTATTTTAATAGACAAAGAATTCATCTTTTTCTATCAATTGATATAGAAAAAAATAGATAGGATTTTACTTTTATGAAGATGCGGTACTTCTGTTCTCGAAATTTTTCTTTGAATTTACCCACACCCACACGCTCAAATATTACTCTTAGTATATATAAAAATAAAGCACCTCGACCACCACCGTCTGCTGTTGATTTATATTTGAGTGATATATATGTTGGCGATAAAAAATCGATTGCTGAAAACGACTGCAAAACAAGCTCCGATAGGTATTGAAAATTTGAACAGGTGATCTCTTTTTCCGCTCAAATAAATTCAATTCTATCATGATTTTCATATGTAGATAAAATCAGGTATTATTGAACTTCTATCCGGTTTCGAATCCTTAGAAACAAATTATAT